TGAGAATATTGAATACAATTGCTTTCCAGGAGGCTTTGAAGTTTATTTGGGAGCTCTGGAACTGCTGAAGTGATGCTTTCAGTAATGGTGACAAAACATGTGGAATGATGAAACCAAAGTACAAGCCCATTGTCAGGCCTACATCATGGGAATGAAGGTTGTGAAGCATTCTTACTTCCCCACTCTCACTGGGTTCACAGAATATTGTCCAGAATATTGTCCACTGTTAAAGGCGGCTTGTGCCATAAGAAACAACAGTGATAACTGAGACTACATATCTTATTAGGTTACTTGTCTTTTTGATGGGTTTTTTTTTTTGATTCTGAAGTGGGTGGACAATATTCTTGAGAGCATGAGCTCTGAGCTAAAGGTGAATTTGAGAGATGATGTATACTTTTTTGAAGGAGTGTGGGTGTGTCTTGACCTGAATGAAGGAGTAGTGCACTCTGTCCTGTTGATCCATCTCTCAGTTAGATCGTAAACTTTCTCTTTGGAGAAGAAGGGTGGTGGGGCAGTGGCTGTAAAGCAGGTCTGTCAAACTCACGACCCGTGGGCCAGATATGTCACACGCTGGCCAGGCCCACACCTGGTTTAGGGAAGGGGGAAAAAGTCTCGATACATCACGTGACACCGTAGTGATGCCACAAGGTTGACACCCCTGCTATAAAGAATCCTATTTGAAATGAAATGATTTATTTAGGTTCCTTTCTGCTGGGATTCAGACCTAGGCATGAGATTGAAAACATATTGGTCACTTTTATGGAATACTCCACCAGGACCTCGGTGGGTCCTGCAGTACTTCTGAACTAATGGATCTCTTAGCAGCGCTGGATACTATAGTCTACATCACCTGTAAGGATTGAGCACAATAATTCTGTCTTGCGATGGTTCTACTACTACTGAGTCAATGGTTTTGGAAGATGGAGAAGGAGGCGAGCGATGAAGAGTACCACTGAGATGGGTGAAGTCATTAATCAGTTTGAAGTGTCATTAGTGAGATATTGTGAGAGCCGAGGTGGCGCAGTGGGTAGAGTGCAGTACTGCAGGCCACTTCAGCTGACTGCTGTCTACAGTTCAGCGGTTCAAATCTCACCGGCTCAGGGTTGACTCAGCCTTCCATCATTCTGAAGTGGGTAAAATGAGGACCCAGATTGTGGGGGAGATATGCTGACTCTGTAAACCGCTTAGAGAGGGCTGAAAGCTCTATGAAGCGGTATATAAGTCTAACTAACTGCTATTTATCAGTGTGCTGATGATGTTAGTTACACTATATTGCCAAAAGTATTTGCTCACAACTGCTTCTGATTATGTGGGTGGTTGAGCGAATACTTTTGGCAATATAGTGTCTCTCCATGATTGGAAAGATAGTGGATGATGTTCTAACCTGATGTGTAGAGGTAATAAGGGGCAAAATGGGATGAATCACACGAGGTGAAGTGGGATTGGCCCTGATCTTATTGGCAGTCAGGAAATCCCTCAAAATCTGGTTTAAAACAGGTTTGAGAATTCCAGAGAAACAGAAGCCTGTGAGGTGGCAACACTGTGTCTGAGATGCTGGTCCATTCTTCTCTGCATCTCAAATATATGACTCTGGGCAGCTTATAAAACATAACATCAGGTAAAGCAAATATAAAACAGTAGTAAAAGTAAAGGTTCCCCTTGCACATATGTGCTAATCGTTCCTGACTCTATGGGGCGGTGCTCATCTCCATTTCAAAGCCAAAGAGCCAGGGCTGTCCGAAGAAGTCTCCGTAGTCATGTGGCCAGCATGATTAAACTCTGAAGGTGCAAAGGTGGTTCCCGTGAAGGCATGAGGCTTTCTTCTAAATGACTACCAAAGGCAAACTATTTACCCTGGCATTTCTTGGGTAAGAATTTTGTCCAGAACAGGACTAGTTTTTGTTAGACTTTAAAAAAAGTGTAACCCTTTAATTTCTGTATTGTTATTGTCCTGGATGGTTTTGTCTCTTACCCTGGTTTCATTGTTTAATGATTTACAACAGGGGTGTCAGACTCAAGGTCCATGGGCCAAATCTAGCCCATGGGGTGCTTAGATCTGGCCTGTGAGGTCACCCTGGAAACAACGAAGGTCCGACCCGTAGGGCCCCTGCCAGCAAAAATGGGCTCCCAATCGCTGTTTTCTTCTGGGACGGCCTCCTGCCACTCTCTGCCATTCTGGCCACACCCATCCCAGCCCCCCCAAGGTCAAACGCAACCCTAATATGGCCCTCAATGAAATCGAGTTTGACACCTCTGATTTACAGTAACAAGAGATGGATCTTGTTTGCTTTGGGAAGCTCATTATTGTAGTGAGACTTACTATCATGACAGCTGAGTTCTGGAACACTGCAATCACTGTCAAGGAATGGAGAGTTGAGAGATTTCCCATTTAATATATTTGCTCTCAGTTACTCATTTGGATGTCTTGCTTTACACAACGGCTGCTTTTATCAGCTGTTCCTAATTCTATGTTTGAGGAAAGCATTATTGTGATTCTTTGGCATGCTTAGTTAGGAAGTCATGCCTGCAGACATAGTGATAAATCAATAATGGCTTAATGGGCAAACCTATGGGTGTTAGAAATAATTAGTTCTTTATTGACTATTAAAGCCTGCTAATTAGTATATATTGTAGGTATTTTATACATTTATGGCTATATCCTTTTTACCCAAACCCTTATAACTATTTATTTCTTGGCTGTTATAATTTTTTAAATTTATCCATTCATTCTTTAGTACTCCATCTTGTTACAAACAAAAGAGGAGTCTAGGTTGATTGTAATATCTCATGACTACAACCAGCAGAAAATGAACAAATAAATCCATTATGCATATGCTGTGCATATATTTATATACTGTATTTCCCAGTATTAACTAAACAACAGCTCTTTTATTAAACTGTGTGGATATGCATATTGAGTATTCACACTCAATATATTGTCTGAATACTGGTATATATGATGTCGCAGCCATAAATTAGCCTTTGCATAATTCTCAGCTCAGAACAATCTCAGCTCACGTTACTTTGCACGAATTTTTGCTAAATAGATTTATTCTCTTAATGTATACTGATCCAAAATTAGCTGAGATTAGCACTAGCATATGAGGAGATCTACAGAACTATCATAAACATATAAGAAGCCTGTAAAGTTTCTGAAGTAGCAGATAATCTCCTTCCTACTATGTTCTTGACTTCCAAAATTAAAACAGGTGCATTTACAAGATTGCCCTAGGTTATCAGAACTGATAAATAATGTGTGAACTTGGTCATTTCTAAAAATACATTAACAGGAGAAAAAAAATAAGGTAGAAGTGGCAAGCAGATTGCAGGGCTGGTCTCTAATTTCCATATAGGGAAAAGGGTTGAGCTAAAAGAAGAATCAGAGCCTATAAAAGCTTTCAAAGGTGAAAGGTTTCTTGGTGGTTACGGACTGTCAGGGGTAAGTTTTCTTTTGTTTCCCTTTGCCCTGATCTTTTCTCTTTAAAAAAAGTACAGGTTATACTATTTTAGGGGATTTTAGAATGCCATGAGATTAAAGGCACTTTTCTATGGTGAAGATGTCTTGTGCAGTCCATTCTTTGCTGTGTATTTTGAGCCTTTGCATATGGGAAGAATGACAAATTCTCAGCTGTTGGGCTGCCTGGGATCCTGGATGCATTATCACATATTCTGTCTATTCCTTTGCAGGTTGAGCATTTCATCCAGTTCCTTCTTTCTGTTGAGAATAGATAATAAAAAGGTGAGAAATCCAAGTGTGGTTATTGAGTGTCTATTCTTTACAGCAAATTGCAGGTATCTATAGGTCTCTTGTGTGCTCTAATTTCATTTGATGAGGGTTTGGGAGGGAGGTTGTGCTTTTGTGTTTCTGAGTATGGAGATGAAAATCTATGTGCTTTGATTTTCTTGATGGAAGAATAGAATGTAATCTTGTTTTGAAGAGATAAGAAGATCAATGCCAACTTTTCATTAAACTCAGCTTTGCAAACAAAAATCTTATTGTCTATTACAAGTTGTTCTGCTCAAGGTTGCTTAGTGATGTAGCTGTTTCTCACTTCAATACCATTTCCCTATCTATTCTGCAGAAATAACTATCCAATTCATTGGACATCCTTTTAAATATATGGGACAGTTCATAATCTAAATCACCCCTCTTCTGACAAAGAGATGCACCAGGTCTTCTCAATGCTTCTGATGAATGATAAGGAGCTGAGCTTGCACTTATATTAAAACAGGAGAGGGAAAAGGCTTGCCCCTGCCCAGAATTTCTTGTTATTTTATAACTCATTTTATATGCTCATTTCCCCTTCCCCCATTTTATGAGCCATTAAAATGTGATTTGGGGTTTGGAAGTCATCTCACATTAGAACCTCAGCAAACCACCCCATTCCATCTCAGACCATTGTGGCACAAAGTCTAATGCAAAAATATACTTAAGGAAGTAGCTTCTGGACATCAAGGTGATATATAAAGTGAATTAATATAGAAAAATAATAAGAATTTAATTAGAAATAATATTGCCTGTATCCATTTCACATTATTTATATCCCATAGTCTTTGGAAATCAGTAGAAAATGTATGTGTTGCATGTATGTGTATCACTATATACATATAGTGGAATAAACATTTTTTTTGTATTTCAATGCTCTTCCTACAATGTTATATTGTTTTATATCTTTCTTTCCCCTGTTAACTTTCAACAATTTATTGCAAAGTGCTGTCTCTTGATACTTAAAATTTTGCACTTGCCCAACTATTTAATGAACAGCAAACCACCCTTGTTATTATTGTTATGCATTCCCCTTCTACTTATTTTTTGATATTGATATTTTCATTTTTTTACAAAAGTTCTCAGAAAAAAATCAGCAAAATTTAACAAAAGCTTTTTTTTACATAAGGCATCTACTATAGTGAATCATATCACCAGATATAGTAACTGAGAGCAGGTGTACTAACCTTAAACCAAACAAACTAAGGTTTTTGTATCTCCTTTAGCTGCAGCCATGAGCAGGGATGCAGAGATGGAGGCTTTTGGGGTGGCTGCCCCTTTCCTGCGTAAATCTGAAAAGGAGCGAATAGAGGCTCAGAACCAGCCCTTTGATGCCAAGACTTACTGCTATGTGGGTGAACCCAAGGAGGAATATGCCAAAGGGAAAATTAAGAGCTCTGAAGGTGGGAAAATTACTGTAGAGACATCAGATGGCCGGGTGAGCATCTTCCATGGTTTGGGCGAGGAGTGGGTGGGAAACACTTTTTAAATAAAATAAAATATTTTTCTGGTACAATGTGAGATTTTTGGAATTAGAATCAATACATAGCTCTGTCATTTACTGTATATATTGGTGCAAAACCTGATCCCATAAATTCCTTCCTCAATTATTCTGAAGGCAAATGGGGCAAGATTGGATATTTTATTGGGCTAAGTTGCTGTAAGTACCATCAGCACGAGGGGGCATAAGCAATAGATTTTCCCTTCAAAATTTCCTTTGGGTCCCAAAGACAAGCAGACTATGAAGTGTCATTTGCTGGGCCATTCATTCTTATGACAATTGTCGCATTTGAAGACTAAGTTAAAGTTTTAATCATCTAAGCTTCGATGCAAGCACTTCTACCATCAGGCAGAAGACATCAAAGTATAGCCAGCCGAACAAACAGGATAGTTTCTATCCTTTGGCTGTAAAACTTTTAAATACAACCACAATCACTCCATGCACACGCTATTTTTTTTTCTTTTTCTATCTTTTTTCGTTTCTGCTATAATTTTGCACCAGGTGAGATTAAAACCAATTTCGTTGTATTTAAGTACAATGACAATAAAGATTATACTTATACTTAAGGGGGAAATGGCTGTAATGTTATCAATAGCTTCTCGTTAATAACAGAACAATATGATTGTTCAAAGTATTGAGTTGGGATTGAATCTCTAATTCTGAGCTTTTTCTGAAGGCTTTTCCTCTTATTCTTTCAGACAATAATTGCCAAGCCAGAGGATGTGTATGCAATGAACCCACCAAAGTTTGACAAAATTGAAGACATGGCAATGCTGACGCATTTACATGAACCAGCTGTTTTGTATAACCTCAAAGAGCGCTACAGCTCTTGGATGATCTACGTATGTTTTATTCTTACCTCGTACCAGGACTGAAATCTCAAAGAGGGCAGATTTTAACCACTATTTTTGGTTTCCATGCAGACCTATTCAGGCCTCTTCTGTGTCACTATTAATCCATACAAATGGTTGCCTGTGTACAATCCAGAGGTGGTTTCTGCTTATCGTGGGAAAAAGCGTTCTGAGGCCCCTCCCCACATCTTCACCATCTCTGACAATGCATATCAGTTCATGCTAACTGGTAAGTCTGCTTGAAGGCCTGAAAGGGAATAAGGTTGAATAAAGAACAATACAGAGCAGGGGTGGGTTGCTGCCGGTGTTACTACCGGTTCACTTCCTACCACATGTTGCTTGCACATGTTCAGTTGCCTGTAAATTGTTCTGCGCATGCGCAGAACATTATAAAATGCTTAAAAAACATGCTGGCAATGGTGTGGGCAACCAGGAAACCAGTTCAGGGGCTGGGCCAACCTACCGTCCCTACCAGTTCAGTGACCCAGTCCCAATTTCCACTACCAGTTCACCCAAACCGGTGCGAACCAGTAGCAACCCACCTCTGGTATGGAGGGATGAGGAGTTGGGGGCAATGGCAAAGGTCTTCCTCATCCCTCCCAAATAGCCCTGCCTTCATGAAATTAATTCCAGAGGCGCTACTTAACATGGCTCAGCATCCATCTCTGTAGTTTGTAAATATATATATTTTTGCCTCTTCCTTTGGCAGATCGTGAAAACCAGTCTATTCTGATCACGTAAGTAGACATTTCAGATTCGTCCTGCTTGTTTACAGTAGTAACACAGTGCTAATACAAATAATATTTCTTTACCTGATGATTGATTTTTCCTCCTAGCGGAGAATCTGGTGCTGGAAAGACTGTCAATACCAAGCGGGTCATTCAGTATTTTGCAACAATTGCAGCTACTGGAGAAGGCACCAAGAAGAAAGAAGAGTCAAAATCGGGGATGAAGGTATGAAAAATACATCTCATTCTAGATGTGCAGATAAAGGAATTGAAAATCCCCAAACTCTAAGCAAAGGTAGTCTGACTAATTATATTCTTTCTGTCTCAACTTCCACAGAGTTTGCTCAGTGGAATTCTTTTCATCAATTAAAACTATTAACTATTAACTATTAAAACCAAAGTAACACCATATAAGTAGTCCTTGCCTTATGACCACAACTGAGCCTAACATTTCTGTTGTTAAGTGAGACATTTGTTAAATGGGTTTTCCCCATTGTACAACCTTTCTGGCCACAGTTTTTAAGTGAATCACTGCGGTTGTTAATTTGCTAGCATGGTTGTTAAGTGAATCTGGCTTCCCCATTGACTTTGCTTGTTGGAAAGTTACAAAAGGTGATCACATGACGTTGGGACAATGCAACCATCATAAGTATGAACCAGGTGCCAAGCATCTCAATTTTCATTACTTGATCATGGGGATGCTGCAAAGTTTATACCTGTGAAAGACGGTCATAAGTCACTTTTTTCAGTCTTGTTGCAACTTTGAACAGTCACTAAACAAACATAAGTTGAGGACTACCTATAATAACATTAAGACTCCTTCAGAAAGGTCTATACTGCATAGTTCCATAAACAGTTTTATTCTATTTTTTAAAAAATAAAAGAGAATGGAATTGTAATAAATAATCATTATACTTAATAACTGTCTGAAATTGATTTCTCATGCCTTCATAATAGTTACTCTCAATGCTGTTAAAGCAAAAACCTTTGACAAAGGTTCTAGGACATAAACTACAGTGATTTGCAGTTATGATTTCAGTTATTTCATCCCAAATGCTGACAAATGTAGAAATGGTTGAACAGTAGTTTTTTTTAAACCCTAAACAGAATAGGTGACTGGATCATGAAATCTATATACTGAAGAAAGCACTTTCTAAGTCCCCCAGGAAATGAAGCTCTCCTGCTGCCAGCAGCAATTCTAGTTTGCAGAATCATAACATTCTAGGCAGGACTTATGAAAAATGTATTGCCTTCTTTTGCCTCTTATCCTCCTAATTCTCTCCTTCTGTTCTTTCCCTCCATTCTGACAGAACTTTTTAGGAACCATTTCTGGGGGGAGGGAGTGTGAAGGGATCGAAATGTATTTCCTGCTTATAGAATCAATTTCTGATCTTCTATTTTCTTGAGCAAAATAATTAATGCAACACCTAGTAACAGTGTGCAAAATGTTTTGTAATTCTGAGCTTTTCAAGTCTGAAACAGCTGTTTTGATTTGGGTGAAAATGTTCTGAGCTTTCTGTACTATTGGTAAAGTTAGAGCAAACCCATTTTGAACTCAAAACATTTTGCACATTTCTGAATCTGAGCACCAATTACAAATCATTTAAATCTTAAGAGGGAAGAGTGATGCCTGTTTGGTGCAAAAAAATATTGTGTGGAAAACAAGGACTTGTCAGAATTAATTGAAATTCAGTGAAGGTGCTCTGGTAATTTAATTCCAGATTTCTCATTCCTTGGTCCTATGGGGAAAAAAACATTTAAAAAAAACATTCTAAATCCATTCATTGGAAAATCAGTCACATTTACTTTAATTAAGCTCGCTTATGTTCAAGATTTTGCAATGCTTCTCCCCCCTTTTGGTTTTCAAATATGTCTTCCAATACTCCTGCAGGGGACACTTGAAGATCAAATCATCAGTGCCAACCCTTTATTGGAGGCCTTTGGGAATGCCAAGACTGTGAGGAATGACAACTCCTCCCGTTTTGTAAGTGATGAATCTTTGGCAGGTGACACATTTACTTGCAAGCCTCTTCAGACAGCCTGTTCTGCTCCTTTTCTCATTCCCTGTAGAGCAATTCAAGCTGACATTAAAAATGTCCCATATTCAATGAAAGGCTTTAAAAAAAAACGTAATTCAAAACCTAATACAAAGAAGTAATTGGTATGGGGGATATTTCAGCTTGGATATGAATGTATAACTTACCTCCCTGCCCAAAATGATTATGTCCTTCCTCAGAGATTCATTGAAAGATTTTTCCAACTGGGCTAGTAGATTTCTTTGGCTCAAACTACATGCTGTGATATTTTCACAGGTGCTGCCAATTCTTATGTGGGAGAGGATATTCAAAAATAAAGTAATGGGGAAGAAGCTTTAATCCTCCCATCCTCACATGCCATATCCAGTGTTAACAAAATGAGTCAGTTTTATGTTCTTAAATATGGTAAATATATCATTTCACCATGGACATGACTGTGGGTTATTAAAACAAGAACAGGTTTGTGGGTGCCTGTTTTATGTGAGTCAGGGGGTGTCGGCCCCTTGGGTATATAACACCATAAAATATGTCCTTACAGGGAGTGGTCCTCCAACTAAAGAGGAGGATTCTTTGCTTGTTTACTTTCCATCATCCCAAAGCTGTTTTCGTTTACTCAGTAATAACCATTTCATAATATAACATCTATCTCTTCCATTCTTGGAACAATACAGATATACTGAGAAAATCCTCGCTGAACTGATACAGGAGAGCCATGTTAGTCAATATTGGCCAAAAATCAAAAGGAATCTGGTGGCACCTTTTCTAATAACAAATTTATTAAAAGACATATTTATTTGAGCTGCCACTCACTTCATTTGATGCATGGAGTCTGACTGAAGCTTGACAGCTTTGTAGTTGGGCAGTTCAATAGATAGTGGATGATTTACATGTTAGTTTTATATTGCCAATTTTATAGGTTTCCGGAATGTTTTGGAACATTAACGTTATCTTGACTTCAGCAGCCATCTTATTCCATTTTAAATTCACTTATAGGAAGGCGTGGAAGGGATGTGAAAATAATATCCCAAACTGGAGCATTTGTGTTGTTCCTGCTTATGTGGTAAAACATGCTATACCTATCAAGAAATCCTTGCAAGAAAAAGATTTTAACTGAATATACACAACAACACAAGAACATTTGTTAAAATTCAGTGACTTACCTATTTACTCTTCAGCAGCAAACAGTTCCTATGAAAACAGTACCACCTTCAAAATATAAAATAGAACAAAAACCATAGCAAAATATTCAGTTACAAAAATAATCCATATGTTGTGGCTCATTAAACATTTCTCTTCCATCTTTCTACCCTATAGGGTAAATTCATTAGGATTCATTTTGGTGCCACTGGAAAGCTGGCTTCTGCAGATATTGAGACCTGTAAGTAGCTGAATTTGAAAATTGTCTCCATAATGTCTACAAAATTGGACTTGCAAACATTAATTGGACCTTCTGTTATAGATCTTCTGGAAAAGTCAAGAGTAACCTTTCAGCTGAAGGCTGAGAGGAGTTACCACATTTTCTATCAGATTATGTCCAATAAGAAACCAGAATTAATTGGTAGGTAGGATTCTATTTTACTTTCCTGAACCTTTTATCTTATTGATAATGTGTGCGGTAAATAATATGGGGAAGGTTTTTTTTTTACTCTGTTGAGTTTTTGTCTGCATTGGAAAGTACAATAATCCCTAGAATTTCAGAAAGACTTCCCGTGTATATTTCAGAAATGCTTCTCATTACAACAAACCCATATGACTATCCATTCGTAAGCCAAGGTGAAATTACGGTCCAGAGCATTGATGACCAAGAGGAGCTTATAGCTACAGAAGTGAGTGAAAAAATGATTATGATGTAAAACAAAGAATGTAATTCCTGTCTGAAAACATAATTAACTGTGACACTCTCTCCCCACTCCCCCTTTTAGACAGCTATAGACATCCTGGGCTTTACTTCAGAAGAGAAAGTTGGCATTTATAAACTGACAGGAGCAGTGATGCATTATGGCAACATGAAATTTAAACAGAAACCCCGAGAGGAGCAGGCAGAACCAGATGGCACAGAAGGTAACAAATTCCACAAGTTAGCTTTCAAATTTTATAGATCATATGATTCAACTGTATGATTTACAAAACTCCTTTGGAAAGAGCAATGATAAAGGATGTCGCCTCAGCTTTCAGCAATGAAACACTTGTTTTCCCTCATTTGCTTTGCATGTTGTGTAGTGTGTACTGGAATTAAACTGATTACTTTTTGCTTTGGTTGCTTATTGATTGGGAGGTAGGAATGTGAGTGACAAAGGAAAGAGTTTTGAAAAAGAGAGAGGATACACAACTAACTTTTTAATTGGGTTCTGAGTAGTAAGGATTAAATGAGTAGTAAGGATTGGACGTGGTAACATATCAGCAAGTAGTAAGCAGTAAGTAAGTAGTCAATAAGAAGTAAGGACAAGGGGACACGGTGGTTCAGTGGCTGAGCTTGTTGATCAGAAAGGTTGGCAGTTCGGCGGTTCAAATCCCTAGTGCCGCGTAATGGAGTGAGCTCCCGTTACTTGAACCAGCTTCTGCCAACCTAGCAGTTCAAAAGCATGTAAAAATGCAAGTAGATAGGAACCACCTTTGGTTAGAAGATAACAGTGTTCCGTGTGCCTTTGGTGTTTAGTCATGCCGGCCACATGACCACGGAGATGTTTTTGGACAGTGCTAGCTTTTCGGCATTGAAATGGAGATGAACACCATCCCTTAGAGTCGGGAACGACTAGTACATATGTGCGAGGGGAACTTTTACCTTTATTTTTAAGGATTGGACAAAGGCTGAATTTTATAAACGTGCTCTGTCCAGAAATGTCAGTATTGTTTTCCTGCTTTTAACTTGTGCTGCCAATTCATTGGTTGTATTTTTCACAATCCTGAATATTCTACTAAAGTTTCACAAAGCCTTTTTCTTGTGGGTTTTTTACAGAGGCTGACAAGACAGGTTATCTGATGGGCCTAAATTCTTCCGATTTGTTGAAAGCCCTGTGCTTTCCTCGGGTGAAAGTGGGAAATGAGTATGTGACCAAAGGTCAAACTGTGGATCAGGTGAGTATAGGTAACAAATCAAAACCACCTAGTAGTCCATATGTCAAACAACAAGGATGTGTATTTCTTCTATTCAGAGTGTTCATTAATTTAGAATTACTACTTTGAAGGAAATTGTTCCATTCATCCTATTTAGATTATATCGCTGGAATGCCATTTAGGAAAAAAAAGTTCCACTAACAAGAACTGTAAGGAGCATGCAGTGAATTTGCAACAGGAAGGCATTTCAGCTACAGACAATTCCAAATGGAAACTTAAACTACTTGTCTGCAGCATGAAAGTTGGCTTTTCCTGATGCTAACTTTAAAAATGGTCTAGCAGGGGACCAAGTGCATTTGCAGGCTCTGATTGGTCATTCCTCTGCTTGCCTTTCCCATTCACACAGACAATGTTTGCTGGTTTGCTGCTTGCTGGTTGGCCCCTCTGTGGGCCAATCTATCAATAACTCTATTTGGAGATTGTTTTGTCCCCATTAGCTCCTCTTCTTTTGCACTATTTTATTTGCATACCATGGATCCTTCCCACATTCTGTGGGAATATATCCACTTCCCACATTCTGTCCTTTAATTCTAAACAGACCCTCCTTTCTCTCCAGCCCGTTATTTTACCTTTATTACTCTGTTGCTACAAAGGGGACAAGTTGTCCATTTGTTCCTACATTTCACTGTAGGATTGAGGAAAAGATCAGTTTTGAAGCAGAGGCAAGGATATGTTTGCAATGAACAGGGATTTGGCAGATGACAACTTTATCTATTCCTACACTCAAGAAGCGGCAGATCTCCTGTATTGGCAATTGGGCAAATAGAAAATGACGATTTGGAGATAATAACTTACAGTACATACAATGCCAATTACCATTCATATTTCTCAGGGAGAGATATGAAGATCTCTAAAATAGATTACAGTCTGACTTAAGTACATTTTAGAGATTCATGCAAATGCCTTTTAAAATTCTTTGCTACTGATTTTTCTAATTTGCTCCTGGGTAAAGAGAAACAACTTTGAAAGACAGAAATATTCTTAGCTGACAGAATAATACAGGTAATAGGAGAGATGATTCCTCTTGGTTATAATTGAAGCCTGGGAAACCAGAAGACTGCGAACTAGACAGTTCTAAGGCAGGACATTCACACTCACCCCTTCATTATTTCATAGCAAAACAAATGCAGGAATGCCAAACTTCATCCAGGATAATTCCTCTTCCCTTTTAAAATATAAAGTAATTGGTGATCAATTGATTTGAGTGAGATTAGGTAGAAAGAAATGCAGGAAAATATATTGGCCTTACACTGATATGTGCATAGAGAGGAAGTTTGTTCTAGTGGTGAAGGCACGACTAGAACAAACCAGCTCTCTATGCAAATATTAGTGCCAGGTTAGAAAGCAAGAGATCGTGAGTTCAGGTCCTGGCTAAGCCATGAAAACCAGCTGGGTGATCTTGGAACAGTTACTCTCTCTCAGCCCAACTCACCACACAGGGGTGTTTTATAATGGGAAAAATAGGATGAGAAAGGAATATTAGATATATTTACCACCTTGAGTTATTTGTAGAAATAATAAAGATGGGATATAAATAAATGAATAAATAAATAATAGTGGATCATTATCTTCATTTGTTGCTAATTGTTTATAATTATAGGTTCATCATGCTGTCAATGCACTTTCTAAATCCGTTTATGAAAAACTCTTCTTCTGGATGGTAGCTCGTATTAATCAACAGCTGGACACCAAGTTGCCCAGACAACATTTCATTGGAGTATTGGATATTGCAGGTTTTGAAATCTTTGAGGTAGGCAGATCTATTACAAACACCATTTCTCTGCCTTCTGTGTTTTATAGCAGCCCATGGTTGGAACGTGTGCCATCTAGAGTTGAGGATAAGAATAACACTCAAATGTTGTCTACAGCAGAAAAGCAGAAAGATTGAAATATTTTCTTCTCATTATTAGCATTCAATTTATTTGCTGCCTGATCTGTAAAATTCCTGATGAACTGAAGTTTCATTTAGTAGAGAATTAATGAAGTCTGAGGAATTATATTAACTGAATATATTTTGTTGTTAGTTTAACAGCTTGGAGCAGCTCTGCATCAACTTCACCAATGAGAAACTACAACAATTTTTCAACCACCATATGTTTGTACTAGAACAAGAAGAATACAAGAAAGAGGGAATTGAGTGGACTTTCATAGATTTTGGCATGGATTTGGCTGCTTGCATTGAGCTTATTGAGAAGGTAAATTGGAATATTATCTTATAAGTAACTACTAAGCTGGCAGCCCTTTGTGTTAGACCACATTGGAAGACCCATCGCACAAGAATGCTGGACCTTTACTTCATGGACATAGTCTATCTTGAAAGCCTGTGTTTTATCCTCCCTGTGTTATACTCCAGGGAGTGAAGGCAGAGTTGGTTTGAGTTCCTTTCTAATATTTTCTGGATTTAAAATATGTTTTTTAAAAGTTGTCATAGAGTTTCTCCAAGGTTATCTCTATCGCTTTCCAGGCCAATTGGTAAGAAGAGACATCTGAAATAAAACTATGTTGTTGTTTTTTAATGTAGCCAATGGGCATATTTTCCATCTTGGAAGAAGAATGTATGTTCCCCAAGGCAACTGATCAGTCTTTCAAGAACAAACTCTATGACCAGCATCTTGGCAAATCAGCCAACTTCCTAAAGCCAAAGCCTGTCAAAGGCAAGGCTGAGGCCCATTTCTCTCTTGTGCACTATGCTGGGGTTGTGGACTACAATATTGGCGGCTGGTTAGAGAAGAACAAAGATCCCTTAAATGAAACTGTTGTGGCACTGTATCAGAAGTCATCCATTAGGATTTTAGCCAACCTGTATGCAACCTTTGCTTCCCAAGACGATGGTAAGTTTCAAGAGTCTTTTCCTTTCTCTCTTTATTCTATAATCAAACTGCCTTGAAACTTTGTCCTGTGTTGCATCATATCTAGGGAAAAGATTGGATAGAGACGATGACAACAAGAGAACTAATTACATTTATGTTCTGCTTTCTAATAGAAGGTACTACTAAAAAGAAAGGTGCCAAGAAGAAGGGTTCATCTTTCCAAACTGTTTCTGCACTTTTCAGGGTAAGGATCTTTGATTGCATAGATTGCAAAGAATATTGTGTACAATTATAGCAATAGCAGTAGACTTATATACCGCTTCATAGGGCTTTCAGCCCTCTCTAAGCGGTTTACAGAGAGTCAGCATATTGCCCCCAACAATCTGGGTCCTCATTTTACCCACCTCGGAAGGATGGAAGGCTGAGTCAACCCTGAGCCGGTGAGATTTGAACCGCTGAACTGCTGATCTAGCAGTAGCCTGCAGTGCTGCATTTAACCACTGCGCCACCTTGGCTCTCATTATATGCGTATGTATATAATGCATCATTTTATGAGCATAGTTTGGAAACTAATGAGTATTGGTTAAATCTTAAGACGATGCAGATCATATTAAACCCAAACTTCATATTTTTCTTCTTCCAAAATGTTTAAAATAAAATTGAAAAATTAGCAATATGGTTCTCAGTTTAAAAATTCTATACTTTAAATTTTATACTTTGGATTTTTTTAAAAATTCTTTAAGAGCTAACAAATATTTTACAATTGTTCTATCCAAAATTACAGGAAAATCTGAACAAATTGATGTCCAATTTGAGAACAACTCATCCACATTTTGTCCGCTGCATTATCCCTAATGAAACTAAAACTCCAGGTAATTTACTCTTGTCTGGATTTCCAGAAAAGCTTCAGGAGAAAATCAGAAAAAAACTGCCATTTTTCTTTGCTTTGATCTTGCACAGGTGCAATGGATCACAAGCTTGTCCTACACCAACTGAGATGCAATGGAGTGCTTGAAGGCATTCGAATCTGTAGGAAGGGATTTCCAAACAGAATTGTATACGGAGATTTTAAGCAAAGGTCTGTCGACCCAATTTCTAGTAGTAAACATGTCATTTTGCATGCTAGATTCTTGTTAGGTAAATATTATCTAATGCAGGGCTGTCAAACTCCTGGCCCACAGGCCAGATGCATCACATGTTGGCCATGCCTATTCCCAATTTAGCAAAGGGGGGGAAAAGTCCTGATACGTCACATGATGTCACTGTGACGACATGAGTGGCACCCCTGATCCAAAGCAATAGTGATGCTCTACCCATCATTCTGTATATTATAACTTCAATTCAGCTATATACACTAAGAAAATGTACATCTGTAGGATTACATAGCTACTTTTTTCTTCAGAAATTTTCCTAGGGTGAGTTTTGCTATCAAAAACAAACAAACAAAAATAATCAAAAAACATTCTTCTGTAAATTAATTATATCCTGGCACATTTATAGTGCTAAGACAAAATCAGGTCTGGTTATTTTTTGGTTTTTTTTTATGGATGAGGATGTTTCTAAATAAGAGTTTCATGCTCGCACATCATGCTAAATGACCAACAAGTTTTATCATTGCTCAGTTTTATGTTTGTACCACATTTTGTGAACAATAACCAAAACAATGAGAAGATATTAAAAGTCTGCCAACGAATCAGAGCCTTTCCCTTTGCCACTGATTCCAATGATATATATATATATATTTTCTTTTATGTTTAAATGGGCAGATATCGTGTACTGAATGCTAGTGCCATCCCAGAGGGCCATTTTATGGACAGTAAAAAAGCCTGTGAGAAATTGCTGGGCTCCATCGATATCGATCACACTCAGTACAAATTTGGGCATACCAAAGTAAGCACTTTTCTGAGCTGAGGGCTTGCTGGGCACAAGCTGTCAGCGTAGCTTTTTTAAAAAATTCTTTTTTTCCCCCCAGGTGTTTTTCAAGGCTGGTTTGCTGGGCCTTCTGGAAGAGATGAGAGATGACCGCCTCACTTTGCTCATTACCCGCACGCAGGCTGTGTGTAGGGCGTATCTCATGAGAGCGGAATACCAAAAAATGGTGGCAAGAAGGTAGAGTACATTTCTCTTCCACAGGATTTGTTCATGTAGGCCAGTGGTTCCCAAACTTGGCAACTTTAAGTCTTGTGGACTTCAACTCCCAGAATTCTCCAGCCAGCTCTGTTGGCTGGAGAATTCTGGGAGTTGAAGTCCACAAGTCTTAAAGTTGCCAAGTTTGGGAACCACTGATGTAGGCTGAGGCTTTCGGGGTACAGGTAGTTCTCGACTGACAAATGTTCGTTTAGTGACCAAAGTTACCACGGCCTTGAAAAGAGTGACTTAGGACCGTTTTTCACACTTACGACCATTGCAGCATCCTCTTGGTCACATGATCAAAATTCCAATGCTTGGTAACTGGCTCATACTTATGATGACTGCCGTATCTTGGAGTCCAGGTGATCTCCTTTGGCGACCTTCTGACAAGCAAAGTCAACGGGGAAGCCAGATTCATTTAACAACCATGTTTCTAACTTGACAACTGCAGGGATTTGCTTAACAACCTTGGCAAGAAAGGTTGTAAAATGGGGCAAAATCTCTTAACAACTTTCTCAACTAACATTTTGGACTCGACTGTGCTCATAAGTTGAGGACTATCTGTAATTAGATATTCATCCATATTTCTGCTGAGGAAACTTTTCAAACTTTCCTAGGCTATGGTTCAGAGGTAGTATTCAGCAGGTTCTGACTAGTTCTGGAGAACCTGTAGAGGAAATTTTGAGTAGTTCGGTAAATATCACCTCTGACTTGTCACACCCACATCTATTCTCTGCCTCCCGAGTCCCAGCTGATCTGGAGGAAATGGGGATTTTGCAGTAACCTTCCCCTGAGTGGGGAGGAATGGAGATTTTATAGTATACTTTCCCTGCGACGCCCACCAAGCCATGTCACACCCACCAAGCAACGCCCACAGAACTGGTAGTAAAAAAAAATTGAATCCCACCACCGCTATGGTTGACTTCAAATCTTACATTATACCATGATTAACTATGGTCTCTATATAAGCCATGATTTGTCAGGTTTACATAACAAGTAAACCATAGAGAAATATCTGAGGGAGTGGATATGGAACTTTAAATGTGTGGCACCAGAAGGTATGCCCTTATGGAAAGGGATCCTCCAACTTTTTTTTTGCTTATTTACTTTTCATCACTCCAAAGTTGTTATATTTTTATCCAGTAATAACTATTTTATAATATAACATCTACCTGTTGCACTCTTGGAACAGTTGAGATATACAGGTGATCCTCAACTTACTACCACAATTGAGCCCAAAATTTCTATTGTTAAGTGACACATTTGTTAAGTGAATCACTGCAGTTGATAAGTTAGTAATCCAGTTGTTAAATGAATCTGGCTTCCCCATTGAATTTGCTTGTAAGGTCACAAAAAGTGATCACATGACCTTGGGACATGGCAAACATCATAAATATGAACCAGTTGCCAAGCACCTGAATTTTGATCACACAATCATGGGAAGATTGCAAAGGTTGTAACTGTGAAAAACAGTCATAAGTTACTTTTGTCAGTGTTGTTGTAACATTGAACGATCACTAAATGAATTGTTGTAACTCGAGAACTTCCCATACTTGGAAAATCCTCACTGAATAATGCCAGTAGATGAGAGCTGTGTTAGTCTATAGTGCCAAAAATCAAAAGGAATCTAGTAGCACCTTTTGCAATAATATATATATATTTTAAGGCATAGTTTTTGAGCTGCTACTCCCTTCATCAGATGTTTGGAGTCTGACTGGAGTCTGACTGAAACTTGACAGTTTTACAGTCAGGCAGTTCAACACAGAATGAATGAATAACATATTAGTTTTGTACTGCAGATTTCATAGGTTTCTGTTCTGAAATACTAACTTCATCTTGGCTTCAGCAGCCATCTTGTTGCCTTTCAACACCATTTCTTGTAGGAAGAAATGGAAAAGATGCTAAAGAAAAGACCTCTTCCCATGGAGTATTTCTAAGACACATATTGTATCATTCTTTTAACTTTTAATTTCATCTTCTTTATTTCTCAATTCAGTTTACAATCTTTGGCTTTCATGATACTCTTCCATCAAGTAATAGCCAGGCTAACTCTCTTTAGCTTTGTAACCCAGATAAAATGTTCATGTAAAAATTTTCATCTCTTTCTTGCCTCAACTGCCAGTTTTCAGCATTTAAATTTCCAAGCTCAGCAATATATTTGGAAATGATTCAAACTATGGGATTGGAAGATTGATGTTGGTCTCATAATATAACTCCATTGCCTTACTTAGTAAATCCTATTTTTATTAATCTACAATAAGTAACTTTCTGGAATGGTTTCATTACAGGGAAGCAATTTTCATGATTCAGTACAACATTCGCTCATTCATGAATGTCAAACATTGGCCTTGGATGAAGCTGTTCTTCAAGATTAAGCCACTGTTAAAGAGTGCAGAAGCAGAGAAAGAAATGGCTAACATGAAAGAAGAGTTTCAGAGAACTAAGGAAGAACTTGCTAAATCAGAAGCCAAAAGGAAAGAACTAGAAGAAAAAATGGTGTCTTTGTTGCAAGAGAAAAATGAACTGCAGCTTCAAGTACAATCTGTAAGATTCGTTTGCTAATCTTTTGTATGATCGGCTATAGGAATTGTGGTGTCCTAAGCAGATAATTACAGGCAAAGGCCTACTTGGATTTTTTTTTTTAAAAAAGTGTTTGTCATATGGCAAAAAGTCATGAATAATGTTGATAACTATATTTTTGTAAGCAGTGTATTTCACAGTATAGACAAAGACATTAAGGAAGCCTGGTCTCTCATTACCATCACTTCTGTATCCATCTTGAATATGATACAGAACTGAGCCTATATATATACACAGACACAGACACACAGACACACATACACACACAAACACACACAAACTATATTTGTGTGTGTGTGTGTATACACACACACACACAGACACACAGACACATGCACACACACACTGTATATACACACTATATTGCCAAAAGTATTCGCTCATCCATCCACATAATCAGACTCAGTTGTGAGTGAATACTTTTGGCAATATAGTGTATATCCCCCTCCCTCTCCCTCCTCCCTCTCCCTCTCTCTATCTCTCTTTGCCCTCACTATCTCTCTCCCCTCTCCCCACCCCTCTCTCCTCCCCTCCCTCTCTCTTCCTCCCTCCCTCCCTTCCTCTCCCTCTCTCCTCCCACTCTCTCTCTCTCTCACACACACATACACCTCGTTATCTCCCTGGCTACATTCTGGACCCAAGTCATTTCAGACTTTTAATTCTTTTAGTTAAAAGAAGTTTTCAGGAGCAAAGGATGCAGGAAAGCTTAATAAAATTCCATGGAGATATGCCTACTAGTTTTTCACTGAATTGTAAATCCATAGCAGCTTTAAAACAATTAATATCAAATTGAGCATCTTTATCAATTTAATTCTGATGAGGTATTCTGAGATACAGTTTATAATTAGCTCTTCTTAAATTAATATTTCAATTACAGTAAACCTATGTCTCTTCTGGGTGACTGATCCCTCCTTACTTTCCTCTTGAATGGTCTTCCTTTCTCTATAGCTGATGCCTTTGAGCACCAGAAGGAACATCATTCTTGCTACATGGAAAAGATAAAGCCGTTCCATCACCTGCTTGGGAGAATTTGTCCTTCTGCAACATTGCATTGCAGTAGTTATGTAGGATTCGTACATTAATTTTATCTGGTATTCACCTAGGGCAATGAAACAACCCAAATAAAAATAGTGAAGTACTTTCATTTCCCATGGTCCCAAATACTTCTTTGTAAATCAAAGAACAAGATTTGATAACATATTACTGCAGAAATCACAATGGAATTATTATCTAAGTGTCTCCATTTGCTTCCTCCTGCCTTCATTTTTTCCAAGTTTCCTATTTATTTTTGTTAGGTGATTGCAGCACATCTTATCCAGTTTGAACCAATGTTCCCGTGTGTTTGTTAGTGAAAAAAAACCCCCAGCATTGAATCTTGAAAGTATGGAGAAAAATTATGTGGTTGTGGTGGTGAAGAATTGTACCAGTGTAATGTGAAGATAAAAATTTGATTTTTTTCAATTTTAAATCTTTGGGTTTACTTCAGAAATGGCAAAAGGCTGATGGACTTTTGGGCTTTATGTATTGATGGGATTTGGCTTCTTTCCTTAAAAATGGAGCCCCTCCCTTTTTTAATGCTCTCTTTCCATGCTGCCTAATGATTCCAAAAGCTTAACAATATGTTTGTTATTTGAAAAAAACTAAAAATATTTATAATTAATATTACTTAAGATGAGCCATACATTAAATCTGAGTAAGTTAAGGTTGATAATTATTGATTAAAGGAAAGGCTATTTAAGAAAGTGAAAACATTCTGAGCAATAATTAATAATGTTATCTTTTCTTTAATAAGGAAAGTGAAAGTTTGGCAGATGCTGAAGAAAGATGTGACCAATTGATCAAGACTAAAATCCAGTTGGAGGCTAAGATCAAGGAACTGACTGAAAGAGCAGAAGATGAAGAGGAACTGAATGCAGAACTGACTGCCAAGAAAAGGAAACTAGAAGATGAATGCTCTGAATTGAAGAAGGATATTGATGATCTTGAGCTAACATTGGCCAAGGTTGAAAAAGAAAAGCATGCCACTGAAAACAAGGTAATATAATTTAATCTGAATTTCTGTCCATAGTTGTTGGTGAAAACCTACAGTGGAGGTTTGGGTCAATGAAGTGGTGAATACTTCCTGGTGTAAAGGGAAGGTATGATGTTTCTTGAAGGAGACAAAGGTAAGATTCCTGCATCAGTCAACCTAGCAATTACCCACAATCTCCAATCTCTTATTTGGGGGAACATTGTAGAGAAAAAGGTGGGTTGAAAGGGCACAGAAATTTGGAAGAATTTGATCTTTTTGAAACAGATTTTAGTTTATAGCAGTGATGGTGAATCTTTTAGACACTGAGTGGTCAAACTGTGCATGCATGTGCATGCCCAAACTGAAAAGTGCCTGGACATGAACATGAGTATGCATGCACAGACATGCACCTGCATATACATGCCCAGAAATCCACAGACATGCATGCATGCGCAGCAGAGACCCGAAGACCAGCTGGCCGGCAGGAGGCAGGGCATCCCAACACCAGTAGCACAGCAAGAGGTAAGATCTTTTTCTTTTGTGAGCTTCTGTTTTGTTGTTTGCAGGGAAACAGAGGCTCATGAAAGAAACGCCACAGAGATCTGACCTGGGATAATGGTGCATGTGCCAACAGAGAGGGTTCTGTGTGCCATCTCTGGCACGTGTGTCATAGGTTCACTTTCGCGGGCTTATAATATTGAGACTGCAATGGTGGTGCTTATGAATGGCATTTAGTTAAACTTGAGTAAGGAGTGTGATTTTTGTGGTGTTCAGTGCCTCAGACCAAACCAGTCCAAAAAAACCCAGCAGTCAAATAAGCATTTTACAATTTGCCTATGTGACATACTGTATGTGATATCCCAGGCCCCTTCTTCTCCCAATTATTATTTTTTTTGCCTGTCCAATAATGTGACTGGGTAGGAGTGGCTTGCCAGCCATGTGACTGGGTGGGCGTGGCCAACTTGTAAAATGTGGTGAAACTCACTTAACAACGCTCTTGCTTAGCAACCAGAATGTTGGCTCAGGAACTCTGCCATTGAAGTGTGCAAGTCTTAAAGCTGTCAGGTTACAAGACCCTTGCACCCCAACCCTTTAGAAAAAACCCCCAGGGGTGTTCAAACTTGACAATTTTAAGACTTGTGGACTTCAACTCCCAGAATTCCTCCTCTCGCTCTTCATCTTGATGATGTGCGGACGGGCGGGGAGAGGGAGTTGGAACCGGTTCTAAATGGCACTGTAGATTTGTGGAACCTCTTCTATAGAAGAGGTTAGAACTGGCAGGAACCTACCCCTGCTTCAGAGGTAGGTCTTTTCAACTGCTTTGAAACAGCCTTTCCCATGAGATTCAGACAGGCCTTACACTGCTTTAGAATGATCGTCCAAAGTGAATCTTAGTTCCAGAATTTTGGTGAATTGTTCCTTCTTGTAATTTTGGAGTTTATGAAATGGAATATTATGTTTATCTCCTCGGCTGCCCCGTGTTTTGTATGATATTGTGCTGTTATTAATACTGTATTTTAACCTTATTTATAAAAATGTAAATCAACAGAGCTGACACTGATTGAAGCAGTATATGATGCCAGTAAACAAATAGATATTGCTTGAAAAGGGAGTTAATGGCTGTATATTGTTGATGAATGTAAGGAATTAACTTCATTGGAACACTCATAAATGAATTATTTATTGCATATGAGATCATGACCAGGTTTTCAAATCATCAGCTAGGTTTTGCTGTTTTCTATAGGTGAAGAATCTAACAGAAGAAATGGCAGTTTTGGATGAAACCATTGTGAAATTAACCAAGGAGAAGAAAGCCCTCCAAGAAGCTCATCAGCAAGCTCTTGATGATCTACAGGCTGAGGAAGACAAAGTCAACACCCTCACAAAAGCCAAAGCAAAACTGGAACAACAAGTTGATGATGTGAGAAATTTTCTTTATTTTTCACTATGGGCTATCCCAATATAATCAAACATTGAACCAATGTAATACATACACTGTATACATTATGTGAGAGAATATCAGAGGTGGGTTGCTCCCAATTTGGCCCAGATCGGGCAAACTGGTAGTGGCATCAGCGGGAGACTCTGCCCACCCATCCGGATGCATGTGTGCATGTGCAGAAGCATTGTGTGCAAGAGAACATGAGCGAACCGGTAGCGCTGGGATTTGCAACCCACCTCTGGAGAATACAATAATGAAAACATCCATATCTCTGCTGAAAATGTCCATTCCTTGTAGGGGAGTGCATATCAAAGAGAATATCAAAGGAAAACATACAAATTGCCCATATGAAAGTACAAAACTAATATTAAACTTCTGTTGCAGCTGGAAGGCTCTTTGGAACAAGAAAAGAAAATCCGCATGGATCTTGAAAGGGCCAAGAGAAAATTAGAAGGGGACTTGAAACTATCTCAAGAATCTATTATGGATCTAGAAAATGATAAAATGCAATTAGAAGAAAAGCTGAAAAAGTATGTCATGTATATACTGTAGCTAAACATTGAAGTATAATTATAAGATTATTTTAATTAATTCTTTCTTTGGTATATTTACAGAAAAGATTTTGAATACAGTCAACTACAAAGCAAAACTGAGGATGAGCAAACTATGAGTATTCAGCTGCAAAAGAAAATCAAGGAACTACAGGCATGAATTGTTTCCATCACATTCAAATTTGTGTTCCAGATTATTGTGATTTAGTAATCACGACACAAGGGACGCAGTGGCTCAATGGCTAAGACACTGAGCTTGTCGATTGGAAAGGCCGGCAGTTTGGTGGTTCGAATCCCTAGCACCACATAACGGAGTGACTTCCCGCTACTTATCCCAGCTTCTGCCAACCTAGCAGTTCAAAAGCATGTAAAAAATGCAAGTAGAAAAATAGGAACCACCTTTGGTGGGAAGTTCCGTGTGCCTTTGGTGTTCAGACTACGGAGATGTCTTTGGACAGTGCTGGCTCTTCGGCTTTGAAAGGGAGATGAGCACCCCCCCCTAGAGTCGGGAACAACTAGCACATATGTGTGAGGGGAACTTTTATCATTACCTTTACCTTTAAGGATTGGAGAAAGGCTGACTTTCACAACTGTGCTCTGTCCAGAAATGTCACTATTGTTTTCCTGCTTCTAACTCATGCTGCCAATTCATTAGTTGTATTTTTCACAACCCCGATTATTCTACTAAAGTTTCACAAAGCCTTTTTCTTGTGGGTTTTTTACAGATGTTGACAAGGCAGGTTATCTGATGGGCCTAAATTCACTAAAGTTAATGAGATTTATTTCTTCCAGAGGCATATCTTTTAGCTAATGCTAAAATTAATGCAATAGAATCAAATGTACCACTGAAGCAACTCTCCTATATCAGTCTTTCATCTTTTTTTAATCTAATCCTTATCAATAGATCTCTTCATATATATGCCCCATCCAAATGTTCTGTCCATATTTTCCATTATTTCTCTCACCCTCCTATGTCAAAAAACCTACTGTTCTTTCCCACCATTATCAGATGTTAGTTTTACTTTTTCCACCCTTGTGATACCTCTGATTTTCTGCAAAAAGCCTTAGTTAAACTGTTTAACTCAGTGCTACTTCACACTGCTGCACATTTTTGGTAGCCCCCCCCTCTACCTATCTCTGGTTATTTTTAGGTTGAGAACTCCTTGATGTCATTGCCCTTTTTTGCTTATTAAACTCTTAAATAATTTTCTTCATTGATGATTCTGCACTGAATTACCCCCACCCAGGGGTGAAATCCAACAGGTTCTGTCAGTTTCTGGTGAACCAGTAGCGGAAATTTTGAGTAGTTTGCAGAACCAGCAAATACCACCTCTGGCTGGCCCCAAAGTGGGATGGGGAGGGAATGGAGATTTTGCAGTATCCTTCCCCTGCCATGGCAACCAAGCCACGCCCAGAGAACCAGTAGTAAACAATTATGAATTTCACCACTGCCCCCACCATTGCTACCCTTAACTAGCAGAAACCTCTTCTCTACAGGCTCGTATTGAGGAACTGGAAGAAGAGATTGAATCTGAAAGAGCAACCCGAGCAAAGGCAGAGAAGCAGAGAGCTGATTTGTCGCGTGAACTGGAGGAAATCAGTGAGAGGCTTGAAGAAGCCGGAGGGGCCACCTCTGCCCAGATTGAACTCAATAAAAAACGGGAAGCGGAATTCCAGAAAATGAGGCGGGATCTGGAGGAATCTGCCTTGCAGCATGAAGCCACTATTGCAGCTCTTCGCAAAAAGCATGCGGATAGCACAGCCGAGCTCGGGGAACAAATCGATAATCTTCAACGTGTCAAGCAAAAATTGGAGAAGGAGAAGAGTGAGTTTAAAATGGAAATTGATGACCTGGCCAGTAACCTGGAGTCTATTTCCAAGTCTAAGGTATTTGAAAATAAAATCAATTAGTAATCCCAGAATGTAGATTCTTGGTTATACGCAGCTATGTAAATACAAAGACATATATGTCTAAGAAATCTTCTTAATTCTGTGTATTACAGGCAAATCTAGAGAAAATGTGCCGCACATTAGAGGACCAGCTTAGTGAATTGAAGGCCAAATCTGAGGAAAACCAGAGATCAGTTAATGATCTAACCACTCAAAAAGCTCGTCTACAGGCTGAAACAGGTAAGAAGAACATTGAAAATGGGCCAGAATGCAAATAAAGGCTATTCCAAACCTTTTTCTCCCTCATCAATTGATCGTAAGTGGGAGGCATTAAATCTACATATTCAGTTATGGACCTGAACCTCAGTTTATCTAGTTTATCTTTACCCTAAGGCCTGAAACTGTAGAGACACTAATCTAGGGAGCTGCCCCAGGTGCATCAAAATTATGTTATTGACACTAACTGAAATGAAGCACTAGGAAAATCTGTGGCTGTAGGCTTTCCAATGTCCTGGAAGAAGCCAGTGGCAAACAATTTTTTGCAAACTCTACATGGAGACTCATTGATGTCTCCATAAAGTCAAAAGAAGTTGGATTTGACACAAAGAAGATTTTAATGGGTATTGCTTCCAGGATCAATAATTATATTATGTATTCTTCTTGCTTAAAGAGTAAAATTATTTTAAAATCTTGGTTGAAAGGCGAATTGTCACGTCAGCTTGAGGAGAAGGAGAGCATAATATCACAGCTTTCCAGAAGCAAGCAAGCATTTACTCAGCAAATAGAAGAGCTGAAGAGGCAGCTAGAGGAAGAGACCAAGGTATTCATTCATAAGCAGGAAATGCTGGGAAATATTTTGTATGGGTTATTAAACATAACAGCACTGTCATTTTCAATACTTGAGTCATGTTTGGCAACAAGCAATTTTGTCATGATGAGTTATTGATAAGTGATTATTTAACAGAATTGATGTGACCCCTTAGCGAGCAGAAATCTTGTCATGTATCATAATTGAATCAAACACTTGACATGTTTACAGTTCTGAGACTCAGCTACTCACATGTTCATCTTCCTAAAATCTCATAGAAATCAGAGGATATTATTTTGTATTAGACATGCATAGGATTTACTGGCCATGCATTTCAATTCTGAACTCCCTGTTAACTTGTCAAGTATGAATTCAGTACTTGACAACACCAAGAACCTTTTTGATTTAATCTGCCCAATTATACATAAATTGCTGAATTAAAATATTAACTCAAGTTCATCATGATAATACTTTGCATTGCCTAGAGATATCTTCCACATCAGGGAGCCCACATTTTCAAGAAAGGAAGCTAATTTTCTTGTAAACTACATGATTACAAGAAATTCCAAAGTCTTAAAATACATTTTGGGACATTCAAGGAGAAAGCTTGAATAATGTGGATAAACTCCCCAACTTCATTCTCATGACAATTTGAAACTAAGTTCTTCGCACAAAGTATATAAAATATAAGCATTAATGTTTGTGTATGAAGTTTGTATCATGTCTACAGTGAATGCTGTACATGTTATAATCTGAGTTCAGAAATTTCATAGTGTACTGCTAATTCTTAGGCAAAGAATGCATTGGCACATGCTTTACAGTCTGCTCGGCATGACTGCGACTTGCTCCGAGAACAATATGAAGAAGAACAAGAAGCCAAGAGTGAGCTCCAGCGTGCCCTGTCCAAAGCCAACGGAGAAGTTGCTCAGTGGAGAACCAAGTATGAAACAGATGCTATTCAACGCACAGAAGAGCTAGAAGAGGCAAAGTAAGTGAGGAGTGACAAAAAGTGACAAATTAATATAATTTTTACATTCTACATAAACATTTCCAACTTTTATGCGCTCAAATGACCCATTTCTGTGAACATTCCAACAAAAATTTGTAGTTCTTATTATATTCAAGGATGTTTATAATCTTCCATATAAATGCCAGTGTAAGAGAACTTTTCAGCAACTCTAAAAAAGAAAAGAAAAGGCTGCTGGTGTGTGGTCCACAGTCTGTATTTTTGTTGTTGTTTCTTAATATATTTGAAAGTTTTTTTTTTCCTGAGAACTATATGAGTGTTTTAGAAACAGATTATACTAAAACGAATGCAATGGATTATATTCAGTCTTACGTTAGGATAGGGTTTCTTTTACTCATTAAAAAAACCTGCAATGCCTGGTTGACACCAGACTTATACTGAACTTTAAAGATGGTTTACAAATTAGCTTAGTTTTGTTCTGATCTAGGCTTCCTGATACAGTAAAAATCACACGCTTAGTCCCCCAAACCTTCTTTTTATTTCAACGGCTGTGAATTATGTTCATTCACAGCCCATAATGAGCCACAAATAGTTTGTAAAGAGTCTGCCAGAAGTCTGCCACAGTCTTTCAGGATAAGGCTGATAAGCACCCACCTTTATCTCCCTTGAAACACTGCCAAAGATTTAATTGCCAATTAGCTTTGCAAGGCAACAAGGAGCACAGAGTCAAAATGGAGCTTCAGAGTTTAAACCGACCAGAATGAACAAAGTTGCTTCCTGCAAAGACTTATGTGCCTTTGCTCCTCTTTTATGTCTTCTGGGAGGGCCCAATCATCTTCAAGCCTTACTCCTGAGTCGGCCCTTTTGTCTTAACTGTTCTTGCCTTCTGGCAGCTCTGTGCATGCGCACACTGGCTCTCCCTGTTCCTCTGTCTTGCTGATGTCTGATTCTGGAGGCTCCGGAGGCAGCACATAACTCCCAGATGGCCCTGGTCCCCTCTCTGCCTCTGACGCAGAGCCCTTGTCTGAGCCTTCCCCAGACTCCAGGATTGGTCCATGTTCCTCCCCAACCTCCTCACTGTCAGACTGTCTTGCCAGCTCTGCAGGCTGCCGGTGGATCACAACAATTTTCAGCTAGAATACGATACAAATGATACAATACATACAATATTATACAAACAGTTAGCTTAGTGTAATGTGTCACTCCAGCCACTGTATTTAAGTTTGGTATTAGAGAGGTTTTCTAAACACAAATTTTTTGAGGCATACAATTATGCATTAAGCACTACTCTACAGGACAAAACTGATTCATAGAGAACCTAAATATCTGATGGAACATTATTATTTCAATCTGACTTCTTTAAGGAAAAAACTTGCTCAGCGACTTCAAGAGGCTGAAGAGCAAGTTGAAGCTGTGAACTCCAAATGTGCTTCCTTGGAGAAAACAAAGCAGAGACTGCTTTGTGAAGTGGAAGACCTAATGGTGGATGTTGAAAGAGCAAATGCACAGGCAGCTGCTCTAGACAAAAAACAAAGAAATTTTGACAAGGTATAGTTTGAAGTATTACAATTTTTAAAAGTCTATTGCCACCAGAGGTATAGCTAGATTTGAAGAATGGAGGCATGCCGTGTAAATATAAAGTGTAGCTTTTGTAAACCTGAATTTAGAATTTATACAGTAGTGTAAACTTAGTTGGTATCATTCTAAGATCTTCTTTCTGTGTACTAACATGTACATAAGCAAGTCAGGGTCATTATTTAATTGTCAGTGATTTGTGTTAGTTTCACCTGAACCTTCTTAGCTTAACCAAGATACCAATGGCTGGTATGTTCAGACCATTTTATGGGACACACAAGTCATATCTTGACTTGTTTAGAATTGAAAGGTGTTACCTGCCACTGTAAGATCAGCGGGGTTAAGAAAGTGATGTGTTGATAGAAAAGCTACTGAAATGCTGGACAGATTTAGCGAAGGGAAATAAGCGGACAAAATCAGTACTATAGTAACTGACTCAAACATATTGTGTACCAAGATTTTGGCAGAATGGAAGACCAAATATGAGGAGAGCCAGTCAGAACTGGAAGGTTCCTTAAAGGAAGCTCGCTCCTTGAGTACTGAACTTTTCAAAATGAAAAATGCCTATGAAGAAACATTAGATCAACTGGAAACAATGAAGAGAGAAAACAAGAATTTGCAGCGTAAGTACCATATATTGGGGCTTTGTTGGCATTTTAAGGTTTGTTTTATGGCCCCGGGCAGATTGCTCTTCTTTTATTCTTTTGATCAACTATTTTTATGCTTTAATATTTTGTAGAAGAAATTGCTGATCTCACAGAACAAATTGCTCAAAATGGCAAGTTTATCCATGAACTTGAGAAAGCCAAGAAACAGGTAGAGGTAGAGAAATCTGAGATGCAGATGGCTTTGGAGGAAGCAGAGGTAAGAACTTAAAAATGGATTTTTTTAAAAAAAAGATCATTAATTATACTTTTATAAATGTCTTTTTGAGTAGGCACTGAAAATGCTAATTCATAGCAGTTAATTAAGTCTGTGTTGTATACCCATTCATTTATAAAAAATTCCATTTTGATGCTAACTCATTTTAAAATGTTCCTCTAAAAAGAGTCATAATCGATTTAAGTTTCTCAAACCTAGCATCAATATGCATTTATTTTCCAACAGGCAGCTCTTGAACATGAGGAGGCCAAAATTCTTCGCATTCAGCTTGAGTTGACTCAGGTTAAATCGGAGATTGATAGGAAGATTGCAGAGAAAGATGAAGAAATTGATCAGATGAAGAGGAATCACCAAAGAACAGTGGAAGGCATGCAAAGTGCCTTGGATGCAGAAATCCGGAGTAGGAATGAGGCCATAAGGATTAAGAAGAAGATGGAAGGGGATCTAAATGAAATGGAAATCCAGCTGAGCCATGCAAATCGCCTTGCAGCTGAGACACAGAAACATTTGAGGAATGTTCAAGGACAGCTCAAAGTACTTTCCATCAATTAATATTTTATATGAATAATAATAAAATGATTGGCCCAAGGATCACTCCTATTAAACAATATTCTTGTTTGAAATTAGGACACACAGCTACATTTGGACGATGCCCTGCGAGGCCAAGAGGATCTAAAAGAGCAATTGGCCATGGTTGAACGCAGAGCTAATCTGATGCAGGCTGAGATTGAGGAACTCCGGGCAAGTCTGGAACAGACAGAGAGAGGAAGGAAGATTGCTGAACAAGAGCTTCTTGATGCTACTGAACGGGTGCAGCTTTTGCATACACAGGTAAGGATGATGTCATGATAGCAGTATAAGAATTGCCTTGCAAAATTTTGTCCATTGTGGAATGTCCAACATTGGCCAACAAGATAGCACGATGGATATAGCTATCCTTTTGTTTATTGAAACTCCTCACATCAAGAATCCTGATTTTAAATTTGGAAGGAATACCTCTAATAATTACTAGGAGTTTTTGCAAAAATATTCAGATACATTTTCATTCTCTCTTCTTTAGAACACTAGTCTCATTAACACAAAGAAGAAGCTGGAAGTTGATATTTCTCAGCTTCAAGGTGAAGTGGAAGATGCTATCAAAGAGGCCAGAAATGCAGAGGAAAAGGCAAAGAAGGCCATCACGGATGTAAGTCTTAGATTATGTACTTCCCACCTACCACATTTTTACCATATGCAATGCAATCTTCTCAAATCAAATAATCTTGCTTTTCAAAGTTTAGGCTGGAAAAAAAGAGACTTTTGCAGATAGTTTAGGCATTCATTATTATTGTAAGTAATCTTGTACAGAGATCTAGTGGGAAGTCCAAATTGTGGTGCTCACTTTGTTTGGTTGTTTGTTTATAGGATTTATAGGCCATTGTAAATCCAATGGATTTATAAGTCCTCAAATCCACAACTTGGGTAAAACCAAAAAAGATAAATAGACAAAATCAAGTAAATATTAACAATTACATAATCAAATAAAGATCAAAAATCATACTACAGCTATATATCAGTCAGAAATCTAAACATTCAAAGCCAAGGTTAAACCCCCTAAATTCAGTGAGAAGAGGAATAATTTATCAAGCTCGTTATGAGATGCTCATTCGTAATTCCCAAGCTGACCTCCTCTTCTTTATTTTACATGCACTGGCTTTGACTACTTGTTGATCTGAATCTACTGCTTATGTTTCAAGGCGGCCATGATGGCAGAGGAGCTGAAGAAAGAGCAAGACACAAGTGCCCACCTAGAAAGAATGAAGAAGAATCTGGATCAGACAGTGAAGGATCTCCAGCTTCGTCTGGATGAGGCAGAACAACTCGCCTTGAAAGGAGGAAAGAAACAGATTCAGAAGATGGAAGCCAGGGTAAACACTGGGGTTCAGAGCTGTGGTAGATATCAGCTATCTTCAGAGACTCTGCTATTAGATATTCACATTGTATTATTTCAACTCTAGATCCGAGAGCTAGAGTCTGAACTTGAGGGAGAGCAGAAGCGAGCCACGGAAGCCATCAAAGGTATCCGCAAATATGAGCGGCGAGTCAAAGAATTGACTTTCCAGGTAAGAGGAAAAAAGAAGAAGTTGGTTCACAGCAATTCTTTCCTTTGAATATGCTAATATTTTATCACATTTCTAGAGTGAGGAGGACAGGAAGAATGTGATCAGACTACAAGATTTAGTGGATAAACTTCAGTTGAAAGTGAAATCCTACAAGAGACAAGCAGAGGAAGCTGTGAGTTATTTTAGATTTTTTTTGCACTTAAAAACACAAACCTCAAGTTCTCAAAATTGAAATTCATACATTGCCTTTTCAGGCTAATATGGTTTTGTGTATGTGTGGTGTGTGTTTGTGTAATTCTTGTCTGGCTACAGGATGAACAGGCCAACGTTCACCTCTCCAAATTCAGAAAAACACAACACGAGCTGGAAGAGGCTGAGGAAAGAGCTGATATTGCTGAGTCTCAGGTCAATAAGCTCCGAGCAAAATCCAGAGAAGTTTCTACCTCAAAGGTAAATGCCTCTTTTGTCCAGCACTCAACCATTTTTTCTACACAAAGGATGAAGTGGCATTTCAAGAAGGAATGAGGGAACCTTAGTTCTCCTTAGGACTATTTTGAATAGAAATTTATATACTACTAAAACGCTTGATTTTTAACAGGGTAAAATGGTGCATTGTAGGCAACACTTTTTGAAGCAAGTTAATTCAAATGGGTTAATTTATAGAACGTGTCTGAAATCTGAGGAAATGAAATTTGAGAAAGTTGTGGTTGCTTCACTGCTACTGAGCCACAGTGGCACAGTGGTTAGAGTGCAGTACTACAGGCTACTTCTGCTGACTGCTGGCTGCCTTCAATTTGGCAGTTCAAATCTAATCAGGCTGAAGGTTGACTCAGCTTTCCATCCTTCTGAGGTGGATAAATGAGGACCCAGATTATTGGGGACAATATGCTGACTCTGTAAACTGCTTAGAGAGGGCTGTAAAGCACTGTAAAACAATATATAAGTCTAATTGATATTGCTGTTGCTACTGGCTGGTGCTGGGCTGATGCTGTAGCCACATGATTTTCATTTTCAATATCCTGGGACAATTTCTCGAATAATTTTGTAATTTGTTGCAAATCCCTTACCCAACTACTTACCTACCTACTGAAAAGGGAAGGAAGAGAGGAAGGGATGGAGGGAGGAAAGGAACCCTGCATACTATGCCAACCCCTGCCAACCACTATTTGCTCCCCAAATGCGTGCCAGCCCCCCCCATCTATGTGGCATCTCTTCCATGCCCTCATGCATCTTTCTAAGGTATTTCCCCCTTACATTCCTTCCCTGGACCACTAGGCACCAGTTATCAAATATTCATAATATCTGCCTTTTGATGCAGAAGATTGTCTCAACACTGTTTTCTGTAAAAACTAACATTCAGTATATTTAAAATAAAAAGCAGATATATTAAGAAGCACGCGAGGCAATAAAGCCTCCAGTCTATACCTCACCTTAAAGAGAAGAAGACACAGTGTAAGAAAGACAAAGATAGGAACAGGAAGTTCTTTTTGTGTCTTAATTTACAGGAACTGAATTTTCTAATAGGACAGGTAAGAGACAGACATGGAGTCAGGGTATGATATTTTCCTCATTGGGCTGGTCCTGAGAGGTAACTAATAAAACAGTACTAAGTTGAAATACTATGGGTGGTATCCCATTCTTTTTCAAGAGGCAAGTGGACTTTCTGGTTTTTCTTTGAAGACATTTCTCTTCTCATCTGAAAGAAGCTTCTTCAGTTCTAACTGGATGGTGGGGGAATGGAAAGATTTATACTCCTTGCAGACAACTGGTCATTTGTATTCTTTTAGAGATCTATGTTAAATTCAGCAGCCTTCTCTCAACAGAGGGGCTGGGGGCGGGATACAGTATCATCTATCTCCAGTCTGCAACACAGTCCTTTTAGCAGTCCCAAGAAGGTTCCACACCCATTTGCACTACTCATGTGACCCTGAGAACACAGACAAACCTCCAAGTGGCCTCAACAACTCTCTAAAAGAATGCAAATGACCAGTTCTCTGCAAGGAATGTAAATCCTTCCATTCCCCACCGTCCAGGCAGAACTGAAGAAGCTTCTTGGATGAGAAGCGAAAGATCTTCAAAGAAAACCAAAGGAAGTGCAGTTGCCTCTTGAAAAAGCACCTTCAGTACACCCATGAGCTGGATGACTGAAAATCTCCATAGACGTACGGATGTTATGTAAGACATTGGGACAAAATGTCAAAAAAATGGCTTTGGACCTTTCTGGGCAGATGCCAGGGCAGTTTTATACACTGTTATTGTTGTACCTTCCCTCAAAGGTGTACCTGGAAGACCTTTAAATCTAGCCAAGAAAATCACTGTCCTACATAGAAAAGAAATAACTAGTGAGAATAGTTGGTTGGAGGAAAAAGGCCTTTCATACAAATCATCCTTAGAGAAATAGGGGAATAAATGTCACTCTTTCTGAAAGTTAGCAGAATTTAATTTAATTTCAGCTAATAACTTCTGCCAGCATATTCTCATCTGTGCCTCAATAGTGCAGATCCAAGCAATCTCCAGGCATAAAAGAACATTAGCTACACCCTAGGAGACATGCAGCACTGCTCTTATAGATTGAATTTGAGTTGCTTCAAGAGCAAGTAGATTTTTATAATATGCAAAGCCGCACTCTATAAAAGAAAAGGTTCAATACCTCAGCCTGAAGAATTTGACTCCAGCAGGGAGGTAATTATTGCCTCTGCGGTATGCAATTTGTATGATTGCATTGGTTCAGGCAGTCATGGTCTCACTTGCTTCTTCCTTTGGGGGTAGAAAATTGAACGATGATGATCCCAAGTTATTTGAACTCCTTAGCTTGTTCTATATAGGTATTGCTTAGCTTCCCGTGGTGAATGCTGTTACTACACATTTTCCCAAACAAAAACATTCTAATTCTGGCCACACTGAGAATATTAAAGGCTTACCTGGGCAAGCAGTTTGAAATGCTCCCCTGACTTATTTTAGCTCTTTGCTAGCTAGTTGTAAAGGCACAACTATGACAACCGTTCAAACAAATATACTCAGGGAGAAATAGTATGATAATTCAAGTCTATTCAAAATACACGTTGCACCACATTATCTCTCAGTATATATAAGCTACAAATGCCAGATCTAGCTTATGCATGTAGAACTCTAGGTTTAGGCTGTATTGAGTACCGTCTGCAGCAGAGGTGGGTTCCAACCAGTTTGGACCAGTTCGGCTGAACCAGTAGTGGTTTGGCAGCCTGGGTCGCTGGAACCAGCAGCGACCCATGCCTGCCATACCCCTGAAATGGCAGTAATGCTGGGAGCAACCCATCCCTGGTCTGCAGGATGTGCAGATGAGGTAAAGTACACAGGCTTCAGCCCATATGCTGACTTTGAACCCATTCATGAGTGAAAGCCAAGTGAAATCCAGGAAGGCAGAACAGAAGCCAGGCTGCCAGTCTTGAATGTGGGGGCCTCTCTGCATGGGATAGTGATATTTTAATAATCACGGCTTACAGAAAGAGATCAAGGTCAAACTATACCACTTTTAATTCTTCAATATTTTCAGTTCACATACAAGAAGGCGAATGAAGCAAAGCTATGAGTTTTGTTTATATTTCTTTTTACTAAGATGAAAGGGCACCAACTATCTTTCCTTTACCTGAATTGTTGCCTACATCTCTCTTAGGCTGCCTACTGAGGCTCGACTTTCGGAGGCCAAACCCCCACTGTAGGGAGGAGGAACCGACCAGGTGGTTCCGCCCCAGGCGCCTTATGGAGCCGTCAAGGTCCCAGACAGAGCTTGGGGTTATTCCTGACACTTTCGCCCACAGTCCGGTGGAGACTCTGGTTGCTGCGTGGCACTCGGCAGCATCGGAGGCCCTCGACCGGATTGCGCCACTGCGGCTCCTCCGAGGCGGCGGATCCCCTAGACCCCCTTGGTTCACCAAGGAACTCCGGGAGATGAAGCGCCGGAGGAGACGCCTAGAGCACCGTTGCAGGTCCGATAAGTCCGAGTCGANATTGGGATAAGAAGTCAGAGCCCTGATTTCTTCCCCACACTTGTCTCGACGTCACCACCGGAAGTCGGTATTGTACTTTTTTAGCGTTTATTCCACGCTAAAAAAATCGATATTATATTTTCTCTGTTTTATGGTTTCAATTTTTTTTTGTTCTGCTCTTCGTGTAAACTTTGTGTGTATGTATGTATGTATGTATGTATGTATGTATGTATGTATGTATGTATGTGTGTGTATATATATATATTTCTTTAGTTTAAGGCATTAAATTTGTCACTCTTATTTTTGTTGCTTTGCTTCTGTAAAAATTTTGTGTCTTTTTAACCCTTTTTAGAGTGTGCATGAATATATATATTTTCTTTGAATCTTAATTTAGTTTCAGAGTTTTCATCTTGAAATTCTTAGTTCCTGCATTGCGGTTTGTTCTTATGTCCTTTTTATATTTCTTTTTGCATGTTAAAATTCACTTGTAATTAAATCATTAAATGTTCCTGTTTTTTTCCCCGAGCATTTCATTTTCTTGCAGTTGAATTTAGTTTTCAGTGGTCATTGCATTTAAGTGTCTTGAATAAATAAAATAATAATGAAATACATGTATCACAAAGTTTGGGAGTAAAGTGATGGGTGGCAGAGTTTACATAGTTGAGATATGGGAAAAAGACTTGAAATAAATTATTTGCATTGATATGTCCTGATGACAATTTTAAAGAAAAAAAATGTGTTTGCATAAATTAAAGAATTATTTCCCTGTGTTGTGATTGAGAGGTTATATTGGGGGAGGGGGTGATGATAACTTCCTCAATGGCTCAAGAGGGCGATTCTTTCAAAAAGGTTAAGAACCACTGGTATAGAACACAAGCAATATATGAGGGGAGATGTTGTTCCAAAGGTGGGAGAAAAGAAGGCCTACTTCCTGCAGCCCATTAGAGAGCATCATTTAATTCAGTGCCCAATCTTTCCACCTTGGTAGCCTGGTCCAGTGCAGAGGTGTGTGTATGTGAATGGCAGGTGTGCACGCACACAGATCCATTGGTGTGCGTGAATGGAGGGCACTTGTACTTGAAGTTCCACTTGTGTGAGCAGAAAGCACTTGAATGGAAGGTGCTTGCCCTGGTAGTGGGCTACGGTCCAGGGGTTGAGGACTTGATTTAATTGATAGGACTTGAAGCAAGTGAGCTATGTTGGAGCAAATAGACATGTATTCCCTCAGATAGTAGGCCCTATGCAATGTAGGACTTTATAGATCATAATCAGCATCTTGAAATAACTTCAAACCCAAATGGCAACCAATGCAGTTCACATATCAGGGCATGCTCATAACTGATTACCCTGCACATTTGGGATGAGCTATAATTTCTGGGTGATCTTTAAGGGAAGCCCCATTTGGACCACATTGTAAAAATCCAACTTGAAGATGACCATACAATGAGTGATTGTGAGGCAGGTCTCTTGTTCCAAAAATGTGTGCAACTAGTGCACAAGCTGAATCTATGAAAGGTTTTCATGGCCATAGCTGCCACTAGGAATGGAGAGTTCAGGAAGACTCCTATGTTATGCACCAGTTCTGAGCAGGGGATATATACCTGAAAATGTATTCACAGAAATGTTCATCCAATGGCATTCAGCAGCTAATGGTATTTTAAAATAACTCCATAAAATACATCTTTTGAATTCTAAAAAATTTATTGGAAAAAGTAATTTATCAGTGTTTTACAAATTTTGTGAGTTATAAATATACAGTCTTCTTCTATGCAGAAGCCTGCAACTCCCTGTAGGGCTAAGGAAAGACCTATCCCAGAGGATACAGAGGATACATGTAGATTACCAGTGGAACAGATTATTACATAGTTCTCATGTCCAACCAGGAAAGAAGAAATAAACCACTTCTAAGCTATATATGGATTGAATAGATATGTTGCTCTCTCACTGGGCAAAGCTCATAAGCATAAATACTCTAAAATGTGTAATTTAACATTTGTAGACATATTTTCAATTACTATATTTTAAAACTGATAAATCCTACCAAAATCTAAGTAACTTTAAAATAGTTTGCATAATAAAAGAAAAGTACAGTAGTTTGAAGGAACTAAATGTCATACAGATGTTTTGCCTATGTTTTTCAAGAGCACTTTTACATATGATCTGTTTACTGGAATCAAGTAGAAAACCTGCATTCCAAGAAAAGGTTCTCCTTTAAATTAACTATGATGACTATTAAGACCATTTCTATTTTTTTGTTTTTTTGCCTTCCTTCTTTTTCTCCTTATCCTTTTCTTTTCCCTTGTCTTTTCCTTTTCCTTTTCCTTTTCCCTTTCCAGTATCTTCCGTCTCTGTCAGTGACTTGATTCGTGCTTTTCCTAGAGGAGTCTTTGCATACCAAACCTAGAAAATTAGATAGAAATGTTTTTAGAAAACCTGAAAATACATGCATAACATTGCTTTGAGAGCAGCTCATTTCTTGAATATTAGGCCAATCAATCAGAATAGAGCTGAAAGTCTTCTAGTCCAGCCCCCTGCTGAAGCAGGAGATTCTATACCATTTCCGGCAAGTGGCTCTTCTGAAAACCCTTTAGTGATGAAGCACCCACAACTTCTGAAGGCAAACTGTTCTCACTATTAGTACATTTATCCTTAATTCAAGATAACTTAACATTCTCTGAATTCCCCCAAGAATGTTAGGACCCACAACCCTCAAAGAAAATATACAAGCACCTAGAAAAGAGACATCATCAAATATCCATTAAAAAGTCACATTCAACTCATCTGAGATAAACAGAAAAGCACCCCAAGGCTGCACCCCCCTAAAAAAGGAATACAAGTATTGATGATACGAGATTCTATTCTAAAGGAACAGAACCAGCCATCTGCAGACCGGGCATACAATCTAGGAGGTTATGTTTTCTCTCTGGAGCAAAAATCAAGGATGTGGCTGAGAATCTAACCAAAATAATTAGGATGACAGATTACTACCCCTTTCTACCACTACATGTAGGGATGAATGACACAAAAAAGAGCCGAGGTGGCGCAGTGGTTAAATGCAGCACTGCAGGCTACTTCAGCTGACTGCAGTTCTGCAGTTCGGCTGTTCAAATCTTACCGGCTCAGGGTTGACTCAGCCTTCCATCCTTCCGAGGTGGGTAAAATGAGGACCCGGATTGTTGTTGGGGGCAATATGCTGACTCTGTAAACCGCTTAGAGAGGGCTGAAAGCCCTATGAAGCAGTATATAAGTCTAACTGCTATTGCTATTGCTAAAAAAGGACTTGAAAACAATATTGAGTGATTATGAGCAGCTAGGCAAGAAGAGCTCTAAAGTTGCGACCCTACCTGAATCGGGAGGCTCTCACAACAGTCACCCGGGCCCTTGTGACCTCTAGGCTGGAATACTGCAATGTGCTCTACATGGGGCTGCCCTTGAAGAGCATCCGGCGACTTCAGCTAGTACAGAACGCGGCCGCGCGAGTGATTGTGGGTGCACCTCGGTTCACCCGCATAACACCTATCCTCCGCGAGCTGCGCTGGCTACCTGTTGATCTCCGGATGCGCTTCAAGGTGCTATTAGTCACCCATAAAGCCCTACATGGCAGTGGATCTGGATACTTGAGAGACCGCCTTCTGCCAATTACATCCCTGCGACCAATAAGATCACATAGATTAGGCCTCCTCCGCATTCCATCGGCCAGCCAATGTCGGCTGGCAACTACAAGGAGGAGGGCCTTCTCAGTAGTAGCCCCGACCCTTTGGAACGAGCTCCCCGTAGAGATTCGTACCCTCTCCACCGTCCAGGCCTTCCGCACAGCCCTTAAGAACTGGCTCGCCCGTCAGGCCTGGGGACAAGGATAGTTACCCCTCCCGAATGATGAATGTATGTTGTTTACTATTTTATTATATGTCTCTATCTTAACGTCTGTATTCCCCTTCCCCGATTTTATGTGAGCCACCCTGAGTCCCCTCAGGGAAAAGGGCGGCCTACAAATACTAATAAAATCAAAATCAAATCAAAGAGCCGAGGTGGCGCAGTGGTTAAATGGAGCATTGCAGGCTACTTCAGCTGACTGCAGTTCTGCAGTTCAAATCTCACCGGCTCAGGGTTGACTCAGCCTTCCATCCTTCCGAGGTGGGTAAAATGAGAACCCAGATTGTTGTTGGGGTCAATATGCTGACTCTGTAAAACGCTTAGAGAGGGCTGAAAGCCCTATGAAGTGGTATATAAGTCTAACTGCTATTGCTAAAGTTAAATAATGCACAAATATTTTTTTAAAAATGTACTGCCAAAGAAAGGGCAAAATCGGGTAAGAGAACAAAGGATTCTAGAAGTGAACCACTGGGTTGGTGTCACCAAAAAAACTTTGGATTCCTGGACCATGGTCTGCCTCCATGATGTGCTTTTGGCAAGGGATGAGCTGCACCTCACAAAGATTGGGAAGAATGTTTTCAGAAAACGACTGGCTTATCAGGAGGGCTTTGAACTAAAATTGAGAGGGGATGGTAACCAATCTCCAGGACCTAATTCCAAGCAAAAACTCCTAGAAAACAAATCAAGTAATGAGGTGAGGAGGGATGGGAAGGAAGACAAACTCAAATACCAAACAGGAGACATAGGAAGCGACATTGGACAGAGTCAAACATAAAGAGTCAAGTGCCTGTATGCAAATGCACAAGTTTGGAGAACAAACAGGGTGAACTTGAATTATTAATACATGAAAGTAGATATGATATAGTTGGAATAACAGAAATCTGGTGGGAGGAAACCCATGACTGGAACATACTACTAGAAGGATACAAACTGTTCAAAAAAACCAGACCCCATAAAAGAGGAGGTGGAGTTGCACTGTATGTAAAGGACCACTACATTACTACAGAAATGCACAAAACAAAAGACGAAAACCTCCTAGAATGCATACAGATCAATGTAAAAGAAAGAAAGAATGACATTGCCATAAATATACAGTACAGGCCACCCAAACAAGGAGAAAAAAATAGATGTACTTTTTGCCAAACAACTAACAAATATATGTAGGAAACACACTACAACAGGAATGGTGACTTCAATTACCCTGACATCAATTGGAAGACTAATTCCAGACCAAGCGAGAAATCAAACAGGTTCCTGACCAACCTAGCTGACAACGTTTTGTCCACAAGGGAGAGGAGGGAACTAGAGGGATAGCCATATTGGACTTAATTTTTACAAACAAAGAAGAAGTGATAGAGAGATTCGAAACCACAGGACCTTCAGAGAGAGTGTCATACTAGAATTCACCATAATGCAAACACTAGCATTATAACATAATGATACCAGAATCCTAGATTTTAAAGAGCTGATTTTAACAAATTTGGAGAGAACTTGGGAAAGGTTCCTTGGATGAAAATCCTAAAGGGGAAAACAACTCAAGAAGCTCTGGAAACTCTGAAAAATATGATCATAGAAGCCCAGTCCAGCACAATACCATTGAAAAAGAAACACAAGAACACCAAAAATAAACCAGCATGGCTGCACAAAGATATCTCTGATAAATTGAAAGACAAAAAGGACAAGTACAAAAAATGGAAAGAAGAACACATAACTGAGGCAGAATATCATCAGATAGCCAGAATCTGCAAAGATCAAGTAAGGAAAGAAAAGGCTCAAAATGAACAAATACTTGCAACAAACATCAAAGGTAATTAAAAAAGGTTTCTTCCAACATATAAATAAAAAGAAAAAAAATCAAGCAAATAGTTGGTCCATTAAAGAGAAAAGACTGCAAAGCAGAAATATGCACCAGAGAGAAAACAGAGCTGCTTTACTCATTTCTTGCATCAGTCGTCACACAAAAATAAACTATAGACCAACCTACCAAAGACAAAACTGTAAAAGATAGACTAGAAATAAAAGTTAAAATAAGCAAAAAAATAGTAACAGAACACCTGTCTGATCTTGATGAATACAGATCACTGAGACCTGATGGATTATATCCCAGAGTTCTAAAGGAGCTGGTGGATGTCATCTCAGACCACTGTACCACATCTTTCAAAAATCTTGGAGCACTGGGGAACTACCAGAGGACTGGAAAAGAGCTAATGTGGTTCCCATCTTCAAAAAAAAAAAAAAAAGGGGGGGGAAATCCTGGACCTAGGAAATTATAGATCAATCAACCTAACATCAAATACTGGGGAAGATACTGGAAAAGATAATAAAAAAAACAGATCTGCCAACAAAGTAACAGAATAAAAGTAAAGTAACAACTAAAAGTCAGCATGGGTTTGTTAAAAACAGTTCATGCCAAACCAATCTTATTTCATTCTTCAACATAGTGACTAAATTAGTAGACCAGCGAAATATTGTGGGCATAATATACATACTTAGACAGCAAGGCATTTGACAGAGTAGACCACAACCTACTTCGTGGTAAGCTAGAAAAAAAGTGGGATAGATAGCATCACCATCAGATGGATTTGTAACTGGCTGAAAAACAGTAGTCAATAAGTAGTCCTTAATAATACTACATCTACATGGCGGGAAGTAAGCAGTGGGGTACCACAAGGTTCTGTCTTAGGCAAACCTCTCAGACAACCTGCAGAACTAGCTACATGGCCCTGTGGGAGACTGACAACAGTCAATAGAATACATGTTCTTGCACAGGAACAGGAAGCTCAAGTTCAAAGCCCAAGAGAAGTTATAAAAACCCTCACCCTCAACTCCATGTGATCAGCTGCAACAGAACCACCCATGTGGAACCATCCATGGTTCTGCTTCATCATTAAACCATCTTTCCAATCAGCCTCCATGTTTCCAGTGTCTTTCTCCCAGCTTGGAACTGAACCCGATGGATATTTCTTCCAACACAGGCTTGAAGTTTATTTAGATATCTGTGGCATGTACTAGTTTTATTGTGATCCTGACAAACTTGGGAGGGCAGAGACTTGAACTTGGGTCCCCTTTATACTTTGCTAATTTGTCTCTTTAGCTTGGCATTTTGTAGCCCAATTATGCCAACCCACTTTCTGGAGAGCTTAAATGACCTCTCTGCTAAAGGGTTTCACTTTACGAGCAAGAGTAGGCTGCTGATAGTTATTCTTGCATTTTAACTATTTTAATTCCTCAAGGTACTCTGATACCCTGCCTGATTTGTAACTCTGGGTTTCTGGTATTGCTGATGAAAAGGAAGGTATTTAGACAGAATGGTTTAGGTTTCCATTATGGCTGTGACTGTCATTGATCTTCAGTGTGTATTCCCCCATTTTTAATCTAATGATTGGTATTTAGGACAGCTTTTTGCAAGCAAATACGTTTTTGCATTTTTGTACTGGTAATCCTTGACTTACAATAGTTTTTTTTAGTGACCATTCAAAGTTACAATGGCACTGGAAAAAGTGACTTATGGCCGTTTTTCACACCTACGCTGCAGCATCCCCATGATCACGAGAGGCTGGGCAAGGCGAAGTGCCTCTTGACGTGAGTGACGTTGAGTTGTCCATGACCACCCAGTCCCATGCCCACCCAGCCATGCTTACCCAGCTGGTCATTAGAGTGGAGAACTAGTTGTTAAATTATTTGAATCCTACTACTGAACTGAATCCAAGGTTCTGTCTTAGGCCCAGTATTCTTCAACATCATAAATGATTTAAATGATAGGATAGAACAGGATCCCATCAAATTTGCAGAAAATATCAAGCTAGGGGGGAATAGCCAACAATTTATAAGACAGGCTCAAGATCCAGAGGAATCTGGATAGACGAACACTGCATATCATCCAACAAAATGCAAGTTGGTGGTGAGAAATGTAAGGTCTTACACTCAGGCAAGAAAGGCCAAATGCACAAATACAGAATAGGTGATATCTGGTTTGACAGAAGTAACCGTGAAAGGGATTTTGATGTCCTAGTAGACAAACACTTAAATATGAGCCAGCAGTATGCTGCAGCTACTCAAAAAGCAATGACGTCCTAGGCTGCATCAACAGAGGAATAGTATCAAGGTCAAGAGTTGTTTTTTTTACCGCTTTGTACTGTTTTGTTAAGACCACACTTTGAATACTGCATCCAATTTTAGTTCCCATGATTACAAAAAAGATGTTGGGACTCTATAAAGAGTGCAGAGAAGAACAACAAAGATGATAAAAGGGCTGGAAGCTAAAATATATTATAAACAATTATGGAAGTGGGAATGTCTAATCTAACAAAGAGAAGTAGGGATGACATGATAGTATTCCAGTATTTGAGGGGCTGTCACAGAGAAGAGGGGTCAACCTATTCTCCAAAGCAACTGAGGGCAGGATAAGAAGTACCAGATGGAAACCTATCAAGCAGAGATCTTCTTAGAACTGACAGGAGAGATATCCTGTCAGTTAGAACTATCAATTAGTGAAATGGCTTGCTTCAGTTGTAGGTGCTCGATTACTGGAGGTTTTAAGAACAGTTTGCATAGCCATTTGTCTAGAATGGCATAGGTTCTCCTGGTTGAGCAAGGACTGAATTGGAAAACCTCCAAGTTCCCTTCTAACTCTATTCTGTATTCTAACTTACTGACTGTTCAATATCCTATAGGGTTTGAACCAGATGAAATTGATTCCAATTCATTAGAATCAGAATCAAACTTTATTACGGTCACAGACCAGTACAAAAGTTAAACATTAAAATAAACACATTCTCTAAAAATTATTATTAGTAATAATAATTTTACTATTACTGCTTTACTATTATTAGTAATAATTTTACTAATAGTAGTAAAGTAGTAGTAGTAGCATGAATAAGAATCCTTATTATCATTGTAGTAGCACAAAATTTTGCACGAGTGGTGGTTGGATTTGAATCCTGAAGGAGATGGTTCATGTAGAAAGTATTTGATCTCCCTAGAAATCTCTTTAATAGAGAGATGTATGTTGATCTGATGTCCCTGTAGAACTTGCTCAAACTAGGACATATAAGTTATCTTTCACTTCCCAATTGCCATATGTACACATTCGCTCAGCTACTGAAGTTTTATTATACCTCCCCTGTAGGAGTGCTAAGGAGAGGATATTAAAAATGCTATTCTACTTTTAAGAAAAGTTAGATCTTTCAGATCTTTGCTGATTTCCACATATTCTGGTTTCTCTTCAGATCGTATTAATACAATTCATTAGGAAACACACTTCTGAATGTATTGAGCAAAAGCAGCAACATTCTGAATACTACTTACTCTTCCACAGACAAAAAAGGCAAATTTCTTAACCTTAAATGTTTCTTCCTCTTCTTTGTACACTGGATCCTGTCTTGCTAGGCAAGTTAGAAATTCAACAGCAGTCAGTGGCTTCTTACTCAGCTGCATTCGACGTCTTTCAGTTAGGACTGCTTGAACTGCTCGGAGAATGGATCCCTGAGCATAACCATCAGAAACCTGTGCCAGGCAACTGATATTTAGATGTTTGGAGAGAAACCCTCCATTTTGCTGAATGAAGTATTTCCATAAAACTGTTAAAATGATTACAAAAGCAAGAAAATCAACAGTTAGAAGGCCGAATAATAATCATAGTAGTAGGTGATAAGAAAAACAGATTATTTTTAACTATTTGATTTTACAATAGTCTCATTTTAAAACTATTAAAATTGTTGATATCTGCATATTTTTCAGGAAGGTCAGAGTGATTTGATAGTCAACTGCAATTCACATAGAATCAACCCACTTTTAAAACCCACTTAAAAAGTAGGATACATTAAGCTTCTTTCCCTGCAAAATAATCCCAGTAGTTCATCTGATAGTTTAGTGACTGTAGCCATTCTCATTTGGGATCATATGGCATCACTTTTAAAATAGTTTCTTATTAAAATTTTTATGATTGGTACCCTATTTCCCTGAAAATAACACATCCCTGGAAAATAAGCCCAATTGAGTTTTTGAGCGCATGCTATAAAATAAGCCCTCCCCTGAAAATAAGCCCTCCCTGAAAATATTGCAACACAGCAGCAGTCAGGAGGTGACCACGCTCACTGCCTCCTGCACTTCAAAAATAATAAGACCTCCCTGAAAATAAGGCCAAGTGCTCATTTCGGGGTCAAAAGAAAATAAGACCCTGTCTTATTTTCGGGGAAACACAGTAGAGACATGGGAACAAGGTCAGCCAATGAATAAGCATAGCAACTAAGTCAGCCAGTGGGAGCTTAAACAAATTGAGTCTGTGCAAAGAATTGAAACAGAAACTTAAGCAGTCTGCTGCTCTGAGAAGTTAACCAGCAGTCTGTCTGGGCTTGTCTGCTGAAATGAAGTTAACTGCTTGTGTTTGCCTGTAATTCTTCCGCCTTGTGTTTACTTGGAAGAACCACCTGTTGGTATTGTACATGTATTCATCTATTCTTATGTACGTATATAAATAAGTTAATGAATCCAGCTGAATCAGTTATCTCTCTGTGCTATTGGATTTGAATTTATGCAACAAACTCTGACAGGTTATGGGCCCAGAGAGCACAGAAAGACTGAACTGTAATGAAGCTGTGAAGACTGCCTGTGTTTAAAAGAGAAACAAGGCAGAGAAAGATTGCAGGATTATTGCTGCTAAATTTAAGGAAAGCTCTGTGCCTTGTTTGGGACAGAAGAACAATATTATTTGGGCTGCAAGGATGGAATGTTTCCTGAAGGCTAAGGAGCTGTGGAATATTGTTATTAATCCACCACAAGTTTTTGCAGCTGTGAGCAGAAGCAGCATGATAAAGCAATGGCTTATATCATCTTGAGTTTAGAAGATGAACAGTTTATCAATGTAGCTGATTTAAAGACTGCAAAGGAAGTCCGGATGAAATTAAGAAATGTGTATGTTAGGTGTCAGCATATTGTACAATTATCAAAATAATTATACAGACCCCATTTGCAACCAGGTGAATCTGTGGAAAGACATTTATTGCAAATGCAAACTTTGTTTGTGGCGTTGGAACAGCATGGATTGCATTTTCCTAAGTCAAAAAGGTGTTCTTAGTGTTAAATAGTCTTGATGAAACGTAGGACATAGTTTCTGCAGTGTTTGAATGCAAACCAGAGCAGGAGCTGTGCTTGGAGGCTTTAAAGGCTTGTTTGATTGCTGAGAAGAAGAAATGCCATTATAGAAAAAGCCACGATTAGAAATTCCTGAAGTGGGGCCCAAGGAGCAGGGAGAAAAGAGCGGAAAATTCCACAGACTGGCTGTCTACAGAGACCATAGCATCAGACAAGGAGTTTGCAAGGACAAATGAAGTAGCAAAAGAGTTATAAAATTACAGTCCAGCAACAGAAGTGGTGCTTCATTTGTGGTGAAAAGACACATCTACAGAAGGACTGTTTGCAAGGAAAAAGCTGTTTGCAAAGAAGAAATTATTTGCAATCAAAAGATGGACAAGTTGCTGTTGCAAAAGTTAGCTATTGTGATAGCAGAGATAAATGGTGCAAGTCAAACAATTGTTAATAATTCTAAATTGTTTTACAGAATGGATCCATCTGCTTGAGATGCAGTAGCCTTGGCAAATGGCCAGAAGGCTAAAGTCATTGGAAGAGGCTATGTGCAAATTCCATATCTGGATAAGAGGCTTAATGATATTGAAGGAGTATATTAATCAACATGAATAAAAAAGAATCAATATTAGCTATTTGCTTTTATTATAAATTGCTTATGTTACTATATAATTGTTACTGATTAAACCAATATTTGCAGTTTGCTTTTGATATGATATACTGCTAGAAATAATTTATTAAGAATTAAACTTTGTTATTGTCTTCTGCTTATATTATTGTATACTGTCAGAAATTAGTTGTTTTCTAACCTAGTAAATTGTAATCTTAATACTAGACTTCAATCCTAGCCCCCCTCCGACAGGTTCCTATGAAAGACCAGCTGGTGTACATTCACACCCCCTTTACTACCAGTAATCTTTTTAACTGGAAAACAGGATTTGTCCCTTACAGGGAATCTCCCCAAAGTTATGCAGAACTTGTTCAACGTATAATGGCCACCCATAAACCCAATGTGCCTGACATTTTTACCCTCATGTCAGCACTATTATCCACCAAAGAAAAACAACAAGTCCTTAAAGTCACCACAACATACTATAAAGCTGCTAGGGAACATGGCATTCAAACTAATCATGATGCCGTTGATTTGTGGCCTGAACCCCTGGCTCTTTTGAACCCCAATTTTGAAGTTAATCCCAACTCGGATCGGGGCACCTTCATTCTCCAGCGAGCCCGGGATTCAATCCTACAGGGGCTGAAACTTGGTGTCCTAAAACAGTGATTTTTTCAATTTTCATCATGTCCACCAGATCATCCCTTCGCCCATTTTTTGAACCATCTCAAAGATGGGTTTTGGAGATACACTGATCTCGATCCCAATAGTCCAGCCAATGAGTTTTTGTTGAAAATGACTTTTGTGGGCCAAAGTGCTCCAGACATTAGGAAGAAACTACAAAAACCTGAGGCCCCTACTACTCAGGCCCTGGAGACTTTTATTCAAACTGCCATCACTGTCTATTCCCAGAGAGAAGAGGAAGAAGAAAGGAAGGAAGATCACAAAATGCGAAAACAGGTTTTTAGCAGTTGCTATCACTTCCCAGAGTAACAGAGGGAGACTTCCAAAAGGAGTCTCCCTCCAGAAAAATCAGTGTGCCCGCTGTAAACAAGTTGTCCACTGGAGAAAAGATTTCCCCCTGGAATGACAACCCAGCAGGGGACTTGGACAATTTAGGGATGGGGAGGTTTCAGGCCTCAAACCCAACAAGCCCCTATGCTCCTTATGTCAACCCAGGGCCTGAGTTCCACCCAGAGTCCTATTGAAGGGACTCCAATTTCCTCTCCTCACCCTCTGGTGGAGTTAAAAGTGGGGGAGAAACTTTATTTCTTTTTGATTGATACAGGGGCCACATTCAGCGTCCTAAGTGATGCAGCAATCCCCTGCCTTTCCTCCCAGACTACTCCATTATTGGAACTACTGGGATAGAGGAAAATGCCCCTCTTAGCTACCCCATGACAGTACAATTAAAAGCAGGCCCCTCCCTCCATCATTCCTTTCTGATCCTCCCACAATACCCTATCAACCTTTTGGGATCTCCAAGGAAACTGGGAGCCATTATGCAATGCACCCAGCAGGGACTCTCCCTTAATATTCCCCCACAGAAAAAGCTTATATTTGTTTCTTGGGGAAGGAGACTATCCCTAAAGAGCCTAACTCTGATAAAATAAATCCTCAGGTGTGGTACCAAGGAACCCCTGGATTTTCTAGATTTGTCACACCTCACATAACTCACCTCTTCCCTGATGCCCAACCTATTGAGATTCCTCAGTACCCAATCAAGCGAGAGGCCCAGATTGGCATTAAGGCCTACATTGAACTTTTTCTGAAAACTGGACTTCTTGTTCACATAGAGTCATACACCAATTTTTCCTGTACCCAAGCCTGATGGATCTTGGAGATTTGATCACAATTTGAGAGAAACGTCCGGATTTACCCTCTGCATCCAGAAGTGGCCAATCCATACACATTGTTGACCACACTTTTCCAGTGACCTGCTTACACTATGCCAACCCAGGGCATACCCAACGAATCCAAAACTAGGCTGAGGTTTTTAGTGAAAAAGCCTCTGACAAGCTCCCCCTGCCCCCGCCATCACTCCACTGACTGTGCAATAGAAATCCTACCCAGGGCCAAACTCCCTAAACCCAAGATGTATAGCATGTCCCTGAGGGAGCTGGAAGAACTGAGAGCATTCACTGAGAAAAACCTAGCAAGGGGCTTCATTGAGCCAGCCCGACCAAAAATTGCAGCCCCAGTGTTATTTAGAGGAAAAAAAGATGGCTCTAAATGTCTCTGTGAGGGTTTTAGAAACTTAAATATGATCAGTGTGGAGAACATGCACCTCTCCCCATCATGAAAGACATGCTAGCACACCTCGCTAAAGAGAAAAAAAATTCAAAGCTGGATTTGAGGAAGGTTTACTACCGTATCAGAATTAAAGCAGGAGACAAATGGAAAATAGCATTTAACACCCCTCTTGGATGCTACCAATTCAAAGTGCTCCCATTTGAGCTACAAGGGGCCTCTGCAGTGTTGAAGTGCTACACGAGTATTTGTACAAGGGAATTTTGGTTTATTTAGATGATATTTTATTATATAGTGAGACCAAAGCAGAACATGTAAAACTGTTCTGGCTGTTCTGAACAAACTCCATTCTGCCAAACTTTATGCTAAACTCTCTAAATGTGAATTCCACCAAGAAAAAAAATCGATTATTTAGGGTACCGCATTTCACAGCAGGGCATAGAAATGGATCCTTTAAAAGTGCAGGCGGTACTTGATTGGGAATCATCTAAAACACGTAAACAGTTACAAAGCTTCCTGGGATTTGCCAACTTTTACTGCTAGTTTATCCCCTTTTGCCCAGATTGCTCTCCCCATCACCAAGCTTTTAAAAATGAAGGGAGAAGGTAACCCAAAACCGAAGCAGACTTTGAACTA